TGCCAAATACCACTAAAACCCAAGGGTTGCGTTCCATGAAGATTGAGGACTTAGACCAAGTTTACGATTTGTTACATAAGTTTCAAGAAAAGTTTGATATTGTTCAGGTTTTTGAAAAGGACGAACTTGCACATTGGTTATTGGGTGGTAAATCAACAGACACGTCATCGAATGTTATCAAGTCATACGTGGTTGAGAATTCTGATGGTACTATAACCGACTTCTTTTCATACTATTTATTACCATTTACCGTATTGGATAATCCATCGCATGATGAATTAGGAATTGCTTATTTGTATTACTACGCTTCCGATACTGCCTTCAAAAATGATGATGAATCCGCCTACAAGCAAAGATTAACATCTTTGATGAGCGATGCCCTCGTTACTTCCAAAAAGTACAATGTTGATGTTTTCAATTGTTTGTCTTCTCAAGACAATCCATACTTCATCAAAAATTGTAAGTTTGGAAGTGGTGATGGTTTCTTGAATTACTACTTATTTAATTACAAGACATGGCCTATAACGGGGGGAATTGATCCCCAAACTAAAGAACTTGCTGAAGATAAGAGTAGTGGAGTTGGTGTTATTTTATTGTAACCTCTAATTATTAATATTCTGATAATCTTTGACATGCTTCCTTTATAATTTATTACTACTACCTAGTTAAGACTATAGAATTGCAGTAGGAATCTATATTACAGTTTAATAGAGTTTACAGGTTTACCGGTTTACCGAATTTTTTTTTTTTTACTGCTGAAAAATATTGTGCAGCCTCATCTCAAAAAGATGAATAGATTCCTGATCATTATAACCTTTGTAAGAAAACCTAATTATAAACTTTAGTAAAAAGGATGATTTCTTCAAGTTGTTGGGTACCAAGAGGATTTGCCTCTGAATTTCCTGAAAAATACGAGTTGAATGATGAAGAAATGGAAAGGATTACTGCAATGGCTAACCTTGAATTGAACGATGCTAAAGAGGGATTAGAGGAGGCTCAAGACCAAGAAACTGAGGGAAAGAAGTCTGGTCAATTGAGAGACCAGATTGAATTAGATGATGATTTAAAAGAATACGATTTGGAAAACTATGATAATGAAGACGATGGAACTGGAGGTGAGAACATAACAATGTTCCCAGGGTTATCGAATAGTGATGCTAAATACCATCAAGGTGAAGACGGTGAAAACGATGCATACTTAAGTTTGCCAACCGATATTGATCTCCAAGAAGAAAAACAAGAATCCCAAATATATCCTACTGATAACTTAGTTTTGGCTACAAGAACTGAGGACGACATTTCATATCTTGATGTTTATGTCTACGATGACGGTGCAGGTGCCCCTGAAGGATCTAATGAAGAGGAGGAAGATAAGTTTGATGCAGATGTAGCAAAGGGCTTAGTTAGGGATTCCAACTTATATGTTCATCACGATATAATGTTACCTTCATTTCCATTATGTGTTGAGTGGATCAACTATAAACCAGGTCAAACTGATATCGCAGAAAACGATAGTAATGTTGGTAACTTTGCTGCAGTCGGTACCTTTGATCCTCAAATTGAAATTTGGAACTTGGATTACATAGATAAGGCATTTCCAGATTTAATTTTAGGTGAACCACCACAACAGAACTCGTTCACGGCTTTATCTAAAAAGAATAAGAAGAAGAAGAAGTCAAAAAACCATGTTACTACTCATCACACTGATGCTGTCTTGTCATTAGCACATAATAGAACTCATAGAAATGTATTAGCATCCACTTCAGCTGATCACACTGTTAAATTGTGGGATTTAAATACCGGTACAGCTGTCAGATCATTGAACAATATACACGCTAACAAAACTGTCTCTTCATCCCAATGGCACTCGCAAGAAGCTTCTATCTTATTGACAGGTGGGTACGATGGTACTTGTGGCATAACTGATGTTAGAATTTCAGATGAATCGCAAATGACTAAGAATTATAAGGTGGCTAATGGCGAAGAAGTTGAAAATGTTAGATGGGGACATACGCCAGAAATTTTCTATGCTGGTACTGATAACGGTAATGTTTACTGCTTTGATGTCAGAACAGTTGATAAGCCATTATGGACTTTGCATGCCCATGATGCAGGGATTTCATCTTTGGATGTTAATAGCCATGTTCCTGGCATGTTAGTAACTTCTGCTATGGGTGAAAAAGTTGTAAAGCTTTGGAAATGTCCAACAGAAGGTAACAAGGGTCCTTCGATGGTTTTATCGCGTGATTTCGGTGTTGGTAATGTTTTGACATCATCATTTGCAGATGATATTGAAGTCGCAGGTAATTTGACAATTGGTGGTGTCAGTGGTGCATTAAAGATGATGGATACATTTTCTAATAGATCGGTCCGTAATTCATTCCGTGATGAATTAAAGCAGTTGCAAATTCAAGCTAGAGAATCTGCAAGAGAGCAAGGCAGAGCTTCGAGACTTGCTAGAAAATATCAAAATGACTCTCACAAAGAAAATGTTATGACTGTTGAAGCTGGTGATTTAGATGATTCTGATTCTGATGGTGCTGATGGTGCTCATGGTATGGAAGAAGATGAAGAGTGAGACATGCATTATAGCAAATTTATATTATCTAGTTGTATAGAATCAATAATAGTATGATTTTTTAGTTCATATAAACCGTGGAGTTTGCGACAATATAACAACCTTGAATATATTTAATACATATATATTTGCCTCATAGTGAACGGGTTTACTTTACTATATGTAAGGAAACTGGGTACTAATAAGGTAATTACTTATACTTATAATCTGTATATTATATATATGTTCTAATAGACCAAATAGAACTTATAGAACTTACTTACTTTATTCTTAGCTAACTAACTAACTGTAACTACCTATAATTAGTTCCTAATTTTCTTCCTTCCTTTCGTCTATCCAGACTCAGGGGATAATCACTTCTATTTATACACCAACTTTTGCAACCATGATGTATAACTTTTGCAACACGACATATATATAATCCATATATGTATACTTGTGTCCTCTTACACTCTCCCCCGGTTTTTATTGAATCGTCCCGATTCAAACTAAATCGGGTTCAAGGATTTTAAATTGCGAGTAACGAATTTCTTTGTACTTGAGGTACATATTTGTCGAATAATTTCTTAGGCATGGTACTAGAATGTCCTGGGTGACAATCTTGCCAATATATATCGAAAATCAGCTTCTTTTTATTGTATCCTGCGATAGCAATAATTTCTTTATTTTTTGCACGTTCAATTGCTTCTAAGTTCGTTCTTGGTGGTTATTTTGGGTAAGATTCTGATCTTTCATAGAATTTACCAAACCACTTCGAATTGACAATTCTGTGTTTCTTTGAAGTAGTTGGAATATCCAAACGTAGCGACATTAAACTGAACTTCTACCAATTCTTTACCTATCTCTAATTCGAATAAAACTTTTCTATTTGTTTTACTTGTTTCACCGGTTACCGTTGTCAATACTATTTCTGGTGCTATTTCTGTTTCTAATTTCAATTCTTTTACCAACTCTGAGGTAATGAAATTACTTTGTGCTCCGGAATCTATTAAAGCTCTGCTTTCTTTATTCCTTATCTTTACTGGGATGATGAACAACGATTCTTGAAGTTTACTCTTACCCTTGTCTCTTATCACGGACCTTTCCTTGGGTTCTTTATCTAACTTCTCGCTTCCAACAAAATTCACATCGCATGAATTTTCTAAACTATTCCTTGATCTATTTATATTACCTTCTATTTTAGTAATATATTTCTTATCATCTACGGTTTCTTCGCAGATTGATTTTGATTCATATTCCTTCAGAATCTTATTATTAACTTTATTTTCTAACTTAATTTGACTAACATCTACTATTTTATTCCTTTTTGACGTTCTAGTCGTTTTCTTCAGGTCTTTCAGCACGTCAAATCCGACCTGGCTATTTGACTGCTTCATTTTTTTTGATTTATTTAGACATTTAGCTGCAAAATGGCCTTCCTTTTGACAATTAAAACATACTTTCGGTTGTCTTACCACTCTTGGTCTTGATGTTATATTGTCAATTTGCATATCATCGGTCTGATTAAACCTTTGATTGTATTTCCCAGAATTTTCATTAAAGTATGCCTTACTTTTGTTTATTTCTATACCATCATCATAAGTGATTGCTATTCTCATAGCTTCCATAAGACCTTTTGGTCTTTTAAGTCTAACCTCCCTTTGAACCTCTTTTTTTAATCCTTCAAGATATGCACTTACTTGTACTTCTTCAGGCATTATTCCTTTGGGTAATTCCTCACGAAGTTGACTAACTTGCCTATTGTATTTTTCAACACTTTTTGTTTGTTTAAGATTCCAATATTTGGAAATTAACATACTAATATCAAAATCATCTATAAATTGAGCTTTTATATCTTCTTTAAAAAGTTGGTAATCATTGAGTGGTATAGTACTGGTTTCTTTATATTCCCTGTACCATTCTAATGCTGGTCCTTTTAAATTCTTACCTGCTAGCATGATTAGTTGTTCTTCATTTAATTGGAACCCTTCAGCTTTGCTAAGAAGTTCTTGAAAGAAATTATTAAGTTGAGCAGGATTCCTGCCGCCAAAATATGGTTTGATTTCTGCTTTCATTAAAAATTCTCTATTTTCTCTGTCCCGAGCTTCTTCACGTAAGAATTTAATAAGTTCCATTGTAGTATCTGGACTTCTCGACATTTTGATTTTCGTAATTCTGTTATTCGGATCTAACTTGCGGCGCTACCAATTGTAAGGAAACTGGGTACTAATAAGGTAATTACTTATACTTATAATCTGTATATTATATATATGTTCTAATAGACCAAATAGAACTTNCTTACTTTATTCTTAGCTAACTAACTAACTTTAACTACCTATAATTAGTTCCTAATTTCCTTCCTTCCTTTCGTCTATCCAGACCCTGATAATCACTTCTATTTATACACCAACTTTTGCAACCATGATGTATAACTTTTGCAACACTATACATATACATTAAGTATATGTATATGTGATCTCTTACAATATATCAGAAATTTGGTCCCTTGGCCCAGTTGGTTAAGGCGTGGTGCTAATAACGCCAAGATCAGCAGTTCGATCCTGCTAGGGACCATTTCTGAAATCACGCAGGGCGTGTGGCGTAGTTGGTAGCGCGCTCCCTTAGCATGGGAGAGGTCTCCGGTTCGACTCCGGACTCGTCCAATTTTTTTTTATAAGCCCATATCCACAATTTTGCAGCCTTAATATCCAACACAAAGAGAATGTGGTGAGTAAGAACAAGATTCCACTTCTTTAAACACTCGATAGATGTGATGAAACACAGACATTCGTTTCAATTCAGAGTGTATACTAGTTTACTAATAGTTCTACTCAAGTTCAGACACTTACTTTAATTCTATCTGAATTCTATCTAAGCAGTTTATCTAGGCGGAGTATTATCTATTACAACGGAGTGTCGTAGTAACTATCTTATTATAAAATTCGCACATTTACCTACTAATTATAGTTCTATTGTAAAATCAGTTGAGGTGTGGGAGAAGCTAGCATAACACGTTCGAAACTTGCTACCGGACGGGATGTTGATGGTGGATGAGCTATAGGAGGAGATTCGGAAGCATGCATATGTTCAGCTGCACCCATATCCAGATTACAATCCAAGTTAGTCTACAGTATGAAGATAATAATGAGTTACATATTATAAGTTCGAAGTAAAATACATAAATAGATAAGTTAGCTGAGTTATTGAACTTAAATGACAACGTCTTTAGCTAAACTCTTCTTGTAATCCAAGATAGTACCATCCCATCTGGTCGCACCCTTGTTCTCAATGACATAAATATCCTTAGCAACCTTATCCAACAATCTGAAATCGTGCGAAACAACGACAACACCACCATTGAAAGCCTTGATGGCTTCAGCCAAAGAATCAATAGTACTCAAGTCTAAACCGTTAGTAGGTTCATCCAATAAAATTAAATTAGGAGCTTCTAAAGCTAACAATGCAAAAACAACACGAGATCTTTGACCTTCAGACAAAGTAGCCATTTGAGAAGTTTGGCCTTCACCAGTTAAACCATAACGACCTAATTGTTGTCTCCAGTATTGGAAATCTTGAGAAATGTGGGAAAATTTGTCACGGACGAATTCCAATGGGTTCTTAGTCAAATCTAATTGTTCAGCAGAATGTTGTGAATAGACACCTAATTTAATATGTGTATGCTGAATAACTCTACCCTGTTGAGGTTGTAATTTACCTTGGAATAAATTCAATAATGTGGATTTACCAATACCATTTGGCCCGACTAAAGCAACTCTTGAATCCATATCAATACCTATATCTAAGTTTTCATATAAGTTATCTTCTTTCTTACCGGAATACGAGAATGACATACCATCAAACGCCAAAACTGGTGGTGGCAACTTATCGACATCAGGGAATCTGAAGGTGAAAACCTTATCAGGAACAACCGGTTGAATTAAACCAGCGGCCTCCATCTTATCCAAAGTCTTTTGTCTAGACTTTGCTTGCCTAACCAAGTTAGCATAAGTACCAGCCGAGGCAATGAACTTCTTAATATGAGCGATTTCTTCTTGTTGTTTAGCATATTGCTTCATTTGGTTAGTTTCCAATTCAGCTCTAGTCTTGACATAGGAATCGTAGTTACCACCGTATAATTGCAATTCCTTCAATCTCATATCAATCATGTTAGTACAGACACCATTCAAGAAATCTTGAGAGTGCGAGACTAAAATCAAGATTCTGTCGAATCTCTTTAAGTATTCTTCCAACCAGACACAAGCAGCCAAATCCAAATGGGCAGTTGGATCATCCAATAACAATAAGGTTGGCTTAACGAATAAAGCCTTGGCTAATGCAACACGCATTCTCCAACCACCAGACATATCTCTGGTTCTCTTCTTAATGGTTACCCCGTTGAAACCTAAACCAGTCAAAATAATAGCAGCTCTAGATTCAAAAGTAGATGGATCCATTTCGTCGATCTTTTCGTATAAACCTTCCAATGCTGGGTTTTCTGGTCCATCCTTGACAATAATTTCTTCAACCAAGTCTTCCAATCTTTTCATTTCAGCTTCCGCTTCTCTGACAACATATTCCAAAGCTGAGAAGTCGGTAGCAGCAGCTGGCTCGTTCAACAAGTATATATCAATGTGTTCAGGGATTGGGAATTCTCTGGCGGCGATGGCGTTCAATAAGGTCGACTTACCACAACCGTTTTCACCTAATAACCCGTATCTTCTACCATAATTCAATTCGATGGTCGAATCTTGAATTAAAACCTTACCATGGAACAATAACGAAACAGATGATAACTTGATATCTCTCGACGTATTTAACGATTCCAAAACACCAGTAGTCACTCTATCCGATATACCATGTTCATCAGTTTGTAACTGCATTTTAGAGATTTGTGCTTCAGTGTCATCGACTTCCTTTTCTTCTGAGTCTTTTGCTGCTTGCTTCTTGGTCTTCTTGGTGGCCTTACCAGCAGCTGACTTTTGGGCTTCTCTTTCCAAACGCTTTTGTTCTCTCTTAGCTTTTGAAGATGAAACAGACATCTTTGGTTAAATCAATTAATATGTTACAAATTGCTACGATTAAGAGGAAAAAACTATATCTACTATTTTTCACTTTAATACGCACTGTCGAAGACCTGAGAATTTTTTTTGGGAAGGGAACATAACCATCAAAAAAAGACTTTAACGCCATTACGTAATGCACCTTCTGGAATGGTCCATCGTGGTTCGTAGACATAGTTATCTACAAGTTCTAGGAGAAGCGGTATTGGCTTCAACCGAGATTGATAACTGTATTTAATGGTATAAGGCACATTTTCACGTATTCGCTGTATATTAGGTATAGAATAACTGTAAAATCGTAGTTTAGTACTTGGCGCTTCTTATATCTACAATTGCTGCACAGGTCACAGAAGGCCATGGAAAGAATATCAAGGGTACATCACAGAATTATGACGTTGGGGGGCAAACAGACAGGGGATAGGAATCCTAAACTTCGTAGGGGGATGATGTCACAAGAGTAATGATGGAAAAAGATACTGAGTGGTTTTGTGATACCTGGGCTGATATGTAGTGGCAACGGCGAAAGACGACTTTTGATTATGATTTATAAAGAACTAAACAGCTAAAACGTCCAATTGGTCTTGAATTCGCTTGTAATAGGACCAGAATACAGCTAAGCGATGACTCCATTGGAAAATAAGCCAGAAAGTACACACGATTCGGGACAAAAGTCCAAGGTCAGCGCACCAATTCCTATCAGAAAGCAAAACCCCATCGTAGAGAGAGCGGTCTCGCAGATGCACGAAGAGGACAAAGCACAATTTGACAATTCATTGAGGTCATATACGCCCAATACAGCGAAACGGGTTCAGCAAACCACCACGAGAAGGCCATCATACTCGAGTGTAGAATTCACCAGAGAGTCTCACTACAACTTGGACTATCCTGAAGGATGGGACGAGATAGAAAAGGAGCAATTGGATCCTAAATCCCGATTTTTTGCCAGAGCTAGGCCCAGAACGTTGAACCTTCCTAGGTTGCTTCCATATGAGACTGAGCTTCCTAAGGATCAGGCAAAATTTTTGAGTCATATTGTATCGCATCTCTACATCGCTATCAAGAGTCTTGATATCCAGGGTTCATTATCAATCACTGCTAAGGATTTGGCATCGTTGAAAAATGCTAGCGGCTTGTCTGATGTTGATTTAGCCCTTGAAACAAACCTCTTTGAGATGAATAATGCCAACAATGACGACGTTAGTATGGATGATGAGTCGAGTAATTATTTCGCAGTAGAAGAATTTGCTGACTCGGACAGCGAATATGAAGAAGAGGAGGAAGACGAAGAGGGAGACGAAGGCGACGAAGGCGAAGGTAACGAATCTACGGTCCAACATAAGAAATCGCCCAAATCAGCTGCGGTGGTGGGTGTTCGTATTTGGACACATGAGTTACTCGTTTGGCTCAAAATGAAATATGACATGCCCTTGAGTTTGAGAATGAACTTGGCCAGGGTATATTATGCTATTTGTCTTTCCAGGGGACAACATATTAATTTGAAGATATATGTGAAAGCATTCGAATTATTAACGAAAGACCAGGAATTGCTTAAAATTCAGGGTCTTGTTCTTCCATGGGAAGGTTTGTGCAAAGAATTGGAAAACCAGTTTCCGCAAATAGACTCATCTCATGAACAATTTGAAAAAAAGGACCACAAGCATTTGATACGTTTGGCTGAGAAGGCGTCCAATTTCTTCTCTAAAGAATCCTTGCCTTTGATCTACGCTAAGTTCGGTAGTAAGTTTTCAATTTCTAATGCAGCATTATCTCTTTCATCTATGTCTTTATTGCCGCTTCCTTTTACTGACGGTGGTATGAATGATACAGAGGATATTCGTCATTACATTGCATCTTTCTTTTACATCTGGTCGAAATTAAGTAAGAGCTCAGGTATTGACTCACATCTTACTTCCAGGCTCGGTACAATCGCAATGGCATCATTGTTGGAGTTGAGTCGTAATCCAAATAGTTCGAGTTATATGAATCTTGGAAAATTCGGTGTCTTCTCTGACGAGCAAATGCAATTCTTTATTAACACTTTGATTAATAGTCTAAGCATTATGAACGAAAAATATTCCTCATTAAAGACAAAATTTTTCCAAGGGTTTGCATCGATGATTATATTCTCTATCAATGGGGAAAGATGTTTGGAGCCTGATGGAATAATAAAATACCTTGAAACATTACTAAATGCGATAGAAAGTTACGTCCATCCTTCTAACAGTGGTGAATGGTCTAGATCAATTTCGAAATTAATTTTAAGTTTGGTTTATCAATACCATAAAAGAATTAATTTGGAAACTGAAGAACATGGATCTTTGAAAAATTTGCCAGAGGCCTATAAATTGACAGAAAAAATAACTACCAGGTTTGTAGAAATATTCTTACCTTTAATTAGAACTGGTGTTCAGTCTAAAAAGCATAATGTTACAGATGATTATCTTACCTGTTTCCACTTATTGGCATATTTAAGACCACTTATGGTATCCGAGCATATACTTTTAGATATATATGAATCTCTCGAAGGTGTTATATCAACACATAGAGTGACAGTTGCCTTACGTTCTGTTGAAGAATTAGCAAGATATTTTGCATCAACCCCAATTATAAGAATACACTTAACGAGGATATTACTGTTAGCCTTGCCAGGTATTGACTCAAATGACTTAGAAAAAACAATTCATACTTTAAATATGTTTGCTTCAGTTGCAAACTTCGTCCCCTTCCACGATTTAACTGATGGTAATGGTGACCCCAATTTTGCCATTCAATTTACTCAAGATCACCTAGAATATTTGCAAAGAAAAATGTATAATAATAATGATTATGACGTACAAAGCTTTGAAATTGATGATCAATTGGAATTAGATGCATTGAAGTCATCGTCTGCTGGCTTCAAAATAATAATGAAAACTTTAAGTGAAAGATTATTCATACTTATGGAGAATTTACCGGATCCTTCGAAAAGTACGGGTATTGAAAAAGATTTGGCAGATGCTTTACCAAAATTCTTGTATGTTGTATTTGAATCTTTATCTGATGATATTTTCTCGCAATTTCGTGATGATTTCTTCAAGTTTGTCACGGATAACACATACCACACGATTGCAGATGTAGCAGCGGAAATTTGTGGTGGTCTTATAAAGCATGATCCAGAAAGCTTCAAAGGATTTGCGGGGATCTTGATAGATAAGATTAAAGAGGACATTGAAGAAAACGGTGCAGGTGCATCAAGAACAGGTGTGGAAATTGTTCCTCGCGACCAGCCTCTATTTTGGAACCTAGTTATATTAAACGAATGTATCGGAAATGCTGGAAGTTATGTTGTGGACTGTGCAAAGGAACTTACTGACTTGTCTTTCTTCTTGATGGACAATGTAAAAGGTCCTACGGTATTTGCTGGTTCTTACTTATTGAATCAAATGTTACAGTCTACAACGAAAATAAGGCTTAAGGAGAATAGGTTAATTTCTCCACAGTATATTGAGAAGTATGGAATTGATGAAAAATGTTGGGGAGGCTTTCAGTTCGATAAAGAACGATTTTCAAAAGAAAACTTAAATTTTGAATGGTTTATTCCAACTGAACGGGAAGTTAAATTTGCGGTTGAGTGTTTTAGGAGTCATGTTTCTAAAAGTTTGGAGAATATTCTGAAATTAATGAAAAGATATTCTGAAGTAGAAAGTGGAGATGCCAATGCTGCTCTTCAACTTTCTGATGAGCTTAGACTGTACTTTTTGTACTTGAGCTATTCTATTAGTGGTATATCTTTCTTATTGGATCCATCTTTTGATGAAGATATACCTAAATTGAATCACCATGAAACACAATCCATTCAGCAAAGGTTAATTTTGTTAAATCAAATAAGAGGGATGAAAAACAGTAGGTCTTTAGGTAAGGACGAATTACGTATTGAAAATATTCACGAGAATCTTGAAAAGATCGTTGAAGACATAGGAAGTGATGATCTAATAAATTATATGTTAGACTTTGATAAATTGACGGAATATAATATTGCTGATGAAGACAATGATATTAAAAATAAGGAAGTTTCGAGTCATCATGATATTAGTGATTCATTTTCAAACTTAAACCATCACCTTGAGTCTTTAAGTAAATCTGAATCGCCTGCTCCATCAGTTGATGCTTCTGGTAGGGGTACCCCACATATTGAAGGTGTTGACATGTCTACTATGAATCCTGGTATAACATTCAGAGAAAGGAAGCTTTATACATCAAGATACTTTTTTGGAGATGACATGGAAACTAGAAGGTCAAATGAGTTGTACCTTATATTACATAAAACTCGTAATTTGATAGGGAAGAGTTTACACATTATATGCAAATTTCTAACAAATCATTTTCACGATAATACGAAACTTTTCAAACATTTCTTATACTTGATGAACATGTGGTTTGCAGATGTTGGCCGTGAACGCTTATTGGACCATAGTCATGCAAAAATCAATTTTGGCTATGTTAGCAGTATTCAACACATAAATAGGGTTCGCAAGCCATATACCAGAATTGCGCTTGGTAGTAGAATTGAATCTTATCATCTGCTTAGAGTGGCACTTCATGCTACTGCTAGGACACAAACTGATCTCGATAAGACTTTGTTGGAAGATGTTGTAAAATTATCTGTTTCAACATATTTGGCAATCGCTAAGCCAGCCCAGTCAACTTTAGTGGATGCAATGAAAAGGTTGAATGGGTCTTACAATGTAATAATTCGTTCATCGTTTAAATACCTTGCTAAAGCTTTAGAAGAAAATGACTATAGGAAAATAGAAAGTGGGTTAAGTATTTTTAGTCTAAAGAGAATCAAAAATAAGATTCAAAATGATTACTTTAATCTTCAGAAATATGTGGAATTAATTCATCGTTGTTTGCTTGTTGATAATTTTGAAGTAAATGAACTCTCTCAAAGATTATTCAAAGGAGTCTATAATAGCATTACGCCACCTAGCAGTGTATGCTTGATTGATCATTCGGAGGTAGATTGTGTTAGACCACCTGACGAATATATTGATTTAGAAATACGGGCAGTAAGGTTGGCTAAAGAAAAGAAGAGAAAAATTTATTTTGAAAAGCTAAGGAAGTTAGAAGATAGTGTTTTGTTAGATGAAAAAACAAATTCACACTGGAAGATAACTTCTCTTAATTTATTTTTACTCATCGATTTGCAACTCGATTTAGAGATGGCAGTGAATCACGACGTGTTACAGCTTTTAGCAAAAGAGGCTTCAAGCGATCATCCTCTTATCTCGAGACTAGCTTTGAAGGGTATAACAAAGATGGTAAATAAACTTTATCTTCTTCAAGTGTTACAATACGATCTTTCGAATGCTTATAATCTAGGTTTTGTTCCAACCGATTTCAAGGTTGTTGATACTTCACCTATTTCAGGTAAGTCTTATTTTAATGTTTGGACTCAGGAAATTAATAATTCCAATTCTCCAAGCTACTTTATTGATCATAAGGCGAATACTGGTTGGTTATTTTGGGATAAAAATATGGAAGTAGTTACAAATGAACCATGTTTCGAACTTGACTTGAAGGCACATGATGCCAATGCTTTAAAATCGTTCTGTACCTGTGTAACGAAGGAATGGTTCCAAAATATAGTGAAGTTATGGGTTACCGATAATGATGCCAATTCTGCATTTCAGGGTACGGATGTTTTTGTTACTGCAACTTTAGTACATTTGATATCCAACGGGTATATTGAACAATTTTCTTTTGACGATTTATTAAACATTGTTAGCGATACTTACGTCAAAGATGATAAGAGTTCCCATATAGTTGTCTGTGAATTAATTGCCGGAATATTAATCGGATCGAAGTTTATCAACCCATCGTTGACGGATAAACGTGACAGTTTTATTTGCCTGCTTTTGATGGAAATTTTTGAACATGATTTATCTCCAGATAATAGAGGGATTTGGAATATATTCTCTTGGTGGGTGCCTTCACATATCGATTGCAGAAGATTTCCTAAAGTAACTAAAGTACTCACCGGCTTCACCGTCGACCCAGAATCAGATTCTGCTCTAAAAGAAGCAACAAGGTTAAGTTATATCAGATCCTTTGTTGCGGCTGTCACATGGACGTATCCAGACCCTGACGCTACACTTAAGATGTGCTTTGATAATATCAATCATCGTTATCAAGCAATTAGGGATCAAATTGGGTCACTTATTGCGATTTTGTCTTTTGCGTATTATACTGAATCAGTAGCGAGTGGAGAAGAGTTTGCAACCGTTTGTAATACAAACTCTGGGAACATTTTATACCTCGCAAGTAAGAAAAATACTCTTCTTGAATTGATTCCAGAGTTATTTGGCAAGATCGAGACATGGAGATTAGAGGTCGAACACCTAACACAGCAAGAAATTTTAAAATCCAATTACATTTATTCTGCGACAACCGTATTGACTTGGTTAGGGCAAGCATTGAATACCAGTGTTTCGGTGTTATATCAGGATGACGTGGATACGTACATTGTGCCATTCTTACTTAAATTGATCAATATGAAAGATGTGTGTCAATTGGGAAATATAGATCCAATAACTGTCTTCAAGAAAGTTTCCCAAATCCCATATAACCCGCGCACATTAGAAAGGATTGTTTGCATGCTTGAAAGATATTCTTCTGAGTCTTTAACAGTAGTTCAATCAATCATTGTCGGTGAGTTTACGGAAACCATATACTTTAAAAACCTTTTTTGCTTCAGTAAGTCACAGAGACAACGAATTATTAGCTTGACGAATAAATTGCTCTATCATAAGAATGTTGAAATTCGGGAAGCTGCATCTTCCACTTTGTCCGGATTGATTCATATTTCTCCTCCAAACGATGTCAATGAGATTGTTTTGGAATATAGTAAGGCTTATGCTCAAGATTTAGATAAAATTAGGAGGAAGCATAAAAAGACTGGTTATAAGAATATCCCCATTACAGACAATATAACACTTCATGGAGCTACTCTAGGCCTTGGGGCTTTGGTTCATGCTTTCCCATTTTTATCTCCTCCTCCAATATGGGTTCCGAACGTTTTGACAATGCTAGCCAATAAGTCGTCTGGTTTACCTGGTATTGTAGGAAAAACAGCCAAAGATACCCTAGGTAAGTTTAAAAAGAATAGGCAGGATACCTGGCATGTTGATAGCAAGGTCTTTAATGAGAGCCAAATGCAAGACCTTGAAGGTGTTCTTTGGAAGAGTTATTTCGTATAGATATATCTAAAATATATGAATAAAAGTAATTTGTGAATTTTTTGTAATTATTGCAAAATTTCTAAAATTTGAAATCGCAGTCAATGAAAGTTACATGCCGTAATAAGAAATAGTATTGCAGCAAAATAGTCGAAATGGAAAGGTAGCTTATATAGATTAACTTGTTTTACTATACATACTAAATAAATATCAATAATTAGAACAAGTGAATCGCATTATATAATAATTCCGATAATATTACAAGTATTGGTCACTAATTAAGATAGGTTACTAACTTCGAATAAAAAGTCCAGGAAGTTAATTGTTGCAACACCCGATAAGTCTTTATCATATTTTTTGAAGATATCTGTTAATTTCCTTAAATAGACTAATAATTCAATAAAAGCGTCGAATTTAAGTTTGCCAACAGATCCATCATCATATCCATCATCTCTAGCTTTTTGTGCAAACTTTTGGAATAGATGCAAGACTAAATCTATATTTAATTTATAGCCAATCTGCTCTAAGACTTTTTGAAATTCTCCAAATGATATATCCCCTGACTTATTGGAGTCAGCAGCTATAAATAATTTTTTGTAAGCAGACAAATATTTCCATAAGGAAACAAACTGTTCAAATGTCAAAGATTTCAGGCTTCCAGAGCTTGAACCATTAGAACCACTGAATAACTTGATCATTAATGAGATTGTAGAATCTTGGAACCTTGTATGATCAAAGTTAAGTAAAGCTAATGATAATTCCTTTGACGATATTTTTCCTGAATGATTAGTATCCACCTTGTTAAACACGGATTTCAATTCATTTTCCAATTTCTGTTTGGAGGATACATGTTGTTTTGGCGGTGTCGAATTAGGCATCAGCAATGACTCTTTAGACCCAGCAGGTGTTGCATTGGATGGTGGTGGTTTCTTGTGCGGGTTTTGATGCAGGTTACTCACTACTGGAGGAGCATTATTGAAGTTTTGATATCTCTGTTGTGGATGTTGAGGTGGCTGAGAAGGTTGATATGGCTGATGTTGTTGTGGGGGGACTTGATAGGCCTGCTGGGGAGGTTGACGTTGGGGTTGAGGTTGAGATTGAGATTGAGGTTGTGGATGATGCAGATTCACTGGCGAATTCGCGTATTCATTAGCTCCATATGTCCCATAGCTAGGCTGCACAGGCACAGGAACAGGTTGGGGTTGATAATATTGCTGTTGCGCTGGCTGAGGTTGATATTGCGGATATTGCTGTGCTTGAGGTGGTGGTGGAGGTTGCGATGGCGTCTGATATTGTCCTTGATAATCTGCTGGTGGTTGTGCCTGGTATGCCTGAGTATTATGGGGTTGCAAATGTGAATATTGAGATGGAACTGGCTTCAGATGCTGGGCCGGCCTATATACGACGTTTGATTGTTTTGGATGTGATTGCTTTCTCGAACTACCCTGCGACTGATTCCCAACAGTATAAGCCGCTTGCTGGGGCGTCGGATACATAGGTAATTCATCGACTGGCATTCTATGAATTTTAATTGACTTGAAAAAAAGATACGGTCAATTTAGTAAAGTAGAGTAAAAATAGACTGTTGACAGTTTGCTTAAATTTTTAAATAATGTCCGCGAGCGTGTCGCAAGCGTCATTCTGACAAACGTTTTAAACGAAGCCTACTTATAATGCTAAATTATGTAAGAGAATTATATAAGATACAATGTATTGGAATGTAGAGATGTGTCTCAGGAATCAATGTTGGTACCAAGCCTGACGCAAGTAGCTGTAGACATGTATTAATTGCCGAAAAAAAATTCTGGAATAGGCTAGAAGGTTTACCAATGATCGTGTGTGTAGAGAACTCGATGTCGAATTTTAAGACACGTCAGAATTAAAAGCCACTACGGTTAGATGCATGCGATATGATACAATAAATGTGGTTTCTTTTATTAAAAGAGAGATAGAGTTTACAAATAGTATATATATAAAGCACAACAATTAAATTAACCTAAGATCATAAATATGAAGTAAAATAATCAAGTATGAGTAATTTAATCACGAGCTCTTCTTCTGTAACTGTCACCATCTCTTCTTGGGCCTCTAGAAGCACGTTGTGGTCTTTCAGCTGGAGCACCCTTCAATCTGGTCAATGGTAAGATACCTTCTGGGATGTTCAATTCGTTTCTTAAGAATTCGACACCTTCGTCAGTCAAGGTGTAGTAGTAGTATTGCCACGAGAATTGGGTCTTGACGTAACCTTTAGAGGTTAAGGATTGTAAGGCCTTGATGACAAACAAGTTCTTGGTGTCAATTTCGTCGTGCTTTGGAGCATCGAAATCTTTCTTGGCGACAACAACACCTTCTATAAATGAGTTAGTATATGTCCACGATATATTTCCAGTAATGTTCGGTATCAGTTCACTTCATAGACAAATGCCTGGCCAACAACCAGGCCCAGAAATGGTCAAAAATGAACAAAGGCTCATCATGCTGACGAAATTCAAAATCATCAAAAATCGTCAACTCTGTCTCTGTTCATTTTCAAACTGTCTCTTGTTCCCAGCTATTGTCCTGTCATCGCATGAGGCCAATTTAACCTCCTATGGCCCTACGACCCCTAAGAAAATTTCGTATCCAAACAGACTAATCACTCCAATCTTCCTAATTTCTTTGTAAATTACCACTACATTCTCTCACGGAGTCTCTATTCCTATTATTCATTCATTCGACTTGTTTTCGACTGTCTGTGGCCTCTATTTCCTATTTCACCATTCATCCATCTTTGAATCTGAACCGAACTTAGTACTCTGTTACAATCATTACATACCTTGGAAGAGGTATTGGTGAATCTTCTTTCTGTCTTCTGTTGGAATAAGCATGTTTAATACTATAAGACTATTTCTGAATATCGAATAACAAAAGGTCCTTCAAAACTATTAACCGATTTTCAATAAAAAATCAATTTTTTCCACTATGTGAAAATTCTGTTTCGTCTGGAGTGCTACTAGCAAAGTGAAAATTCAATTTTTCGCACCATAATTATGGATTATGTCATCACAATATATTTTTGGAGGAACCGGTCGTGCCAGATGCGGGTTTGGTGCGAGTGGATTGTATTCGCAGTCACCCAAGGCATGTGCACACACCAAGGGCTGAACCCATAAAGCTGGTGGATGGATGGTGGAAGGCATGTGATTTGGCATGTGACATCAAACCCATCCACTAATATAGGTGGATGACAGGCTGGATAATGATTCTATAGGACGTTTGCAGGGTAAAGAATATACTGCTCGAAGGCTGTTACTGCAGTAAAAATCTTACATACATAGCTATCCTCTCATTCAGACGTATTGGTGGGCGTTTGCGAGGGGGAGGCACCTTTTGAACCCAGTGGTAACGTTAGACATTTCAGACGCAGCTATGTAGCCAGTATTACTGAAACAAAAAATAGCCTTCAATTGTAGACCACGTTATATTATATATTTGACCCCGTGTTAAGGTTTTGTTGGAAATAGCTTGCGACTTCGAAATGTAAGTTTTGGCGACCAAAGAGCACACAACGCAGACTGATAGGTGGTATTTGTTATCGCTTGAACATATTTCTTTCATATCAGACGCCTGGGGTTGTATAAGGCCTGGGTGGTCCATGAAAAACATGGGAACGCATGGGTTATTTGCGACCTATGGAACAAATTGCCTATTCGGGATATCGCAAGAATGCTTGCCGCAACTATCGATGGGTTACATCTGACTTGATAATACCGGTGTAGGGGTTCAAAGGTACTGGTGGAACGGATGGTCGCTGGTTGCAATACTCCTGCTTATTCCCGGTGTGCTCGTTTGCTGTCGCGAGGACTGCATTAAAGGTCGAGATTTCAAAATGCCAGCCATGTCTACATACTAAACGTAACTAAAATTAGATTGCATCTTATTGTAAGATAATCCTTATCATCTTCAAGACTTAGACGTTATCACATCTTATTTATAACTTTTATCATACTCGATCATACCCTTTGGTGTCTAAGATCAAGTATTGTTAATACATTGAAAAATTATTTTATCGCGCAACGGAATCGTTATCAAGAGAAAACCGTTAGCCAACAAGATTAGTTTGTCTGTCTCATATGCTTATTGCCCAGTATGCGGTCATTTATAAAGGGTCATATAAGAAGTGAATCTTCTACTTCGGACTACTATGACTATGAGATCGAAAACCCGCCGCGAATAACCCATGGTAACAGTTCAGCGCTTCTGTCACCTAATTTTCAACAGAAACCTCAGTTTACGTCGCCCCAGAAATCCATGAGTACGCCGAAAAAGCTATTAACGCCTATTAAAAACTTATTTTCTTCGCCAAGCCATACGAAACAACCCAACAATGTGTTACTGTCTGGAGATCGGTTGAACAGTGCATTATCGGGCCCAAATAAGGAAAAGCCCCAGGTACCACGCAAATATGAACAAAAACCGGTTTCGACATTACCACAGAACGGGAATGGCAATAATGTTGATAACTTAAGGTCACCTGGAGAGACCCAGCTGCACGCATGGAGCAGCCAGTTAAAATCACACACACTTCTGAATGGCACATTAGCCCAAATGCATACTCCCAACATGAATTCTGGAGCCTCTTGGTCATCACCTGCTCTCGCGCTGCCTAGAGATATTTATCATACGAACAACTATGACAGCCACGAGGTATTGATGCCTCCATCATATTCGCCTTACTCACAATCTCCATATTCACAATCTCCGTCAGATCAAGATAAGGCTAACCAAAATATGTTGGCACCTCCTTTGAATTTACCAGAAGTGCATGATAAATTGGAGGAAACAAACGCAAACCAATCAAGCATTTCACTAGCAGATAGTAGGAATTTTGAGACAAAGCTGGTATCTTTCCAGCCCGATTGTGAAATTAATGATTCTATACAATATCGCACCTCACCGCACGGTCATTCTACAGATATTGAAGAAGATGTAACGCAGGACGAAGACGATGAATATTCTGATTCTGATTCGGATTCATCTTCACAATTTTCTTTTGTAAAAGATAATGCTGGCGGCAGAAATACGTCGGTGAAATACTATAAAACAAATACAGATCCACCAAAAAATAATAATTCATTTCCACAACTGAATGAATTTAATGAAAATGATTTAGGATATGAAGTTGATGAGTTTTCTGATTATGATTTTGAAAATAATGGAATGGATGACGACGACTTTAATTATGATGATGATGAAGAGGATGCTGATGGACAATACGATGACATTTTTTGTGATGAGCAAGAACATTGTACGGGCCTCGAAAATAATATAAAGGAGCTGAATACCGAGATATCTTTGGATTCTGCCAGTAACAATTTTGAGGAAAGTTCTGTTATCAGTTCAAACCCTTTTGATAAAATAGAAATTGAAACTACGTCGACAGATCTAAAACTTCCTGATGCTCAACTCAAAAACCATAGACCATTTAATCATTCTTATCATTTATCGATTGAAGGATTTGACGATAGATCCAAATCACTGGAATCAATGTCTGAAGATAATACTCCTAATGAAGATATTCTTGAAAATTACATGGATCTTAGAAGGCTGTCATCAATTGATGTTGCAAACTTGAATAATTGTAGAAAAACTCCTGACTTACAATCATCAGGTAACTTGGAGCTTTATGATCTTAATTCACCTATGATTAACGGGTTAACAATAGGTAATAATTTAAGACATAGGCTACGGAAAGATAATGATTTTAAGGAAGAGGATCATGATAGTAATACAAACAAACTATTTATTTTTAGGCAGGCTTCACTCGAAAGTGGAATCGGTGACATTACAAATCGCAGTCAAAAAGATAATATACTAAAGGATGACCGTGATATTTTTAAACAACGGGCTCTTAAAAGTTTCCATAGTTCTATTAGTGATAACCTTGATTGCAAAATTTCAGAGAAATTAAATGAAATAGAATCTTTCAATAAGAGGAGAATAGTCGATACAAATGAAGCTGGTTCTTTGAAGTCAATCAAAGAAAATGACGTTGGACTTGGTATACTATTTGATCTGGGTGCTCAGATGGAAAATAATGGATCTCAACCATCTGTTAAGACAAATACAATAGCCCCAGTAAATGAAATTATGGGTATTTTAGGAACATTAGAAACTGGGAATAGTTCATTGGATTCTGGAGCAGATCACCAGGTTACATCAAGTGGTCTACAAGAGGATATAAATAAGTCGATAAATTTAAATAATCAAGGCTATAAGGATTCTAGACTGTCAATTCTAGGGATGATGAATGTGTTAGCTAACTTGGAAAAAGATCAAGAGCCTATCAATCAGAAAGATGACAGCTCACTGGGACCCACGGATTTAAATCATCTGAGAAGGGCTTCCATAGTTGACATGATGGACAAATTAGCAATGATAGAATCTCAAAATAAGGAAGAAAATAATACGAAGAGGAATTCAGTAACAAATATGATGGCAACGTTGGCAGTGCTAGAAAATACCAATAAACAAAATAGTCCAGATATTAGAAATACTACGAACACAAGTAGTAAGATCCCCGGTAAGACATCTAAGAATCCTCTACAGAGGATAGCGGTAGATGCTTCAAAGGAAAGTAAGAGATATTCTTGGTATGATAATGACGAAAAGATAGATTTCAAAGCTGTAAATTTGAGTAATGTAAAATCTGAATCTGAACCTGAACAGACTGTATTGAAGAAAGCAGACACCCCCACTGAACCAGAAAGGGTGGATTTTGAGACCACAATTTCAACCCTTGATAAAGATTTGATTGATGAAGCTAATCAATTGCCTGAAGATTATAATTTTGAGGACTATGAATATAGTAGATTTACAAACTCGCCTATAAATGATGCAACATTTTTTAGGTCTAACTCATATAATAAAAAGCCTTCTAAAAGTGTTGCAGATAATAACCATCTTTCCAACAAAATTGAGACAATCAATAAAACAATCACTTTCTACAGGAGCAACAGTACAGGCCAGCATTCTGATTTTAACATGTATGGTGGCATAAGTAGAGGTCCATCTTCTAGGTCAGTAAAATCTTTTACTTCAGTAGATAGTGATAATTTGAATGAAGAGAGAAATGAAGACTCAGAACGAACTAAACTTACTGAAATATCTAATGGTCCCTACACTTTTAGGCCTAATTTTCCTCTATATTCAAAAAGTACTGATTCCTATAATTTGGGAACTATTTCTGAAGCTGATAGTCCGTTAATTTGATACGAGTAATTAAATTGCATATATATAACTTAACATAATAAACTAATAATTGGATTAGTGTATTACAATAATAGAATGAACTAAATAAAACCATGAGCGTAAATTATTATTGAAGAATATGAAAATAATATAAAAATATAATTAGGAATAACAATTTAAACAACATTCAACAACTTTAGTTGGGACTCACCTGCTGCTTCATAAAGCTGTTAAAATCATAATTGTCCGATGTATAGTCAAAATATTTCGAATTTAAATTTGAAGAAGCTATGCCTTCGGGTTTACCATAAGATGCTTGGACCTTGGGTAATTCATTTGTCAGAGGTTTAATATTGTTTGAATTCTCCTTTACTCCTGGATATTGAATTCTTGTAGATTTGTATCCAACATTCGAAGCATTCAATGGTAAGTTCTGCTTTTCGTTGAACCGTTGCTTTTGAATTTGAGAGGAAAGTCTATCTATACTTCTTGGTGACTGTATTTTTTTGTATCTAGATGCCAAGCTTACACTAGGCTTTAATTTTAATTGGGACTCTGAAGCAACACCACTTTCAAATGAAGCTGTACTTGTGTTAGAAGTACACGATGTTGTGGACCCTGTTCTAAAGATCCAATTGTTTCTGTATTTCGAATAAATACTGGCCAATTCATCCACTTCGTCATTGTTTTCGTCTTCATCCTCTACCAATACTACTTCAAATTCTTTCCCTTCTTTCGTTCTCTCCGTAACGGATCTATACGATTGAGTCGAACTATTTCTTTGTATCATGCATACATCATACTTGTCCTTTGTCAAGTCAATTACGACACTATCGCTGTCCGACATTGACGTATAATTTGTGTTCTTAGTACTTCTACTTGATTGATAACTTGAACCTGAACTAGATGAGGTCATATTAGAAAGATTAGATGTGGGAATGTTGTAAGGTGTAGGGTGTAATCCAAATCCGTAGTTTTGAGGCTGGTTCGTAACATAAGGAGTGCAAGAGGGGTTATCATCCTTTTGGCTTATGTTTAGTCCGTTTAAGTCTTTTGAAATGTTATGAATACTTTCATGGTTCCTCGAGCTATGTTCCTTTCCACGGTATCTTTCTTTGATATTAGGTGATGCAACTGGATATACTGGGAAGTTATCATTGGATGTAGCCTCTTTAAAATCAACTGCATAATCAATAGGTTTTGGAGGTTCCGTGACCAGGATTTTCATCTCTTCAGGTGTAGCTACTTTCCTAGTGTCTTTAGTTTTTAGTGGTAAGGTTTCTGAATTAACATTTGAGGATTTAGACGGTGATTTAGGAATCATACCATTCAAGTCCATAGATTTTGATCTCTTATGAAGTCCCAGTGTTTGTGGTGCTGACTTTGGTACTGATGTTGCATCGAAATCGATGTTAAACATAGACTTATGGCGTGCATGCTTAACTGGAGATTTAGGCCGCGGATGCTTAATAGAATTTGTTTTATCAGTCTTATCAGGGAGCAGCGGTAACTGTCTTTCAGTACACGAAAGACATGGTGTTGATTTGGATTTAGGCGTCGTTGTCGAGTAATTCGAATACTTAGCCGATTCTATGTCTGTGTCAGAATCATCATCTCCATGCATAGATTTGAACTGCTCTTTAATCACGTTTCTTGCAGCCTTGCTAGGGTATCCAATCGGCTCTAATTTAGAACTATCACCACTATCTATTCCGGAGTCATCAGAATTTTCGCAATTAATGTCATTGAAAGTTGTACCGTTAAACGAGCAAGATGACTTTGGAATAGAATATTTCCCTGTCACCGACTTATCATCTAGATCTGGAATCTCAATCTGACCATTAGGAGATTTATATTGCGCCATATAAGCACTAGATCTTATGCTTGAGCCAGGTGTTATATTTTGTTTCAATTCTTTGCTATTAGTGATATTGCGGCTTCCGGCTGGGAAATTGAATCTAGTGCCAGCTCCTTCGTTATCGCTCTCATTATAAGTAGTTAATTTTTGACAAATAGGTACATCAACCTCAGTTTTATCATTTATGGAAACTTCGGACTCATTCAAATACAAATCTGCAATTTCCGATTCGTCTGTATCGCTACAAATGGATTCCTCGTTTGCCCCCAAAGTCATTTGTAAATGCTTGTTGTTGTCTGGATTCTCTGAACCTAAAGTTTTATCTTCATATGAAGTGGATATTCCTGATGGGGACATTGCTTTGCCCTGTACGACATCAGATTCTGAAAGACTGTTTGAATCATTAATATCAATACTCTTTTGTAACGAATTCCATGATGCATTGCTGGAAACCTCAGATGCACAAGATGTTGATGATCCGTTGCTAATCGTTCTAGAGCGTTCTATGTTTCTAAATTGATCGTCAACTTTTGATTCTAATAACTGTGGCCCGGCTTGATTGTTTATAAATAGATTGGGCGACGGAGAGGTATTTAATATACCACCGAATGAACTAAACGAACTGAGAGACGAAACTTTAGATTCATCACTAAAACTCCTTTTATGAATTCTCAATACAGTATCATTAGATTCAGTTGGAGCATTCGACTGAAGTAATCGAATATTATCTTCCGTTGAACTTCTAGTAACCGAAGAATTGATCATTCTTGGGGTATGATCTATACTGAATGTGTTCTGGTTTGGTATCATCAAATTTCTATAATATGAATCTCTCGGAGTAGCAGTATTTGGAACTCTGAATGTGAATTTATCTGGAGTTTCAACTGAGATGGGAGTAGACAATGATGCTCTATGCGAGCTTCGTGGTGCACCTTTCTCAACATTAATGCCTTCATTAGATGGAGGTAATGGTAATGACTTTCCTTCTTTTCTTGATCTATCGCTTGGAGTTCTTGAATTAGCGCAGTTGCTTGTTTCGTCAATTGTGCTCAACTCATCATGAGACATTTGTTTTGCTTGAGTATTCTGCTTCTTTGATTTTCTCTTATTAGTTGTCACCGGAGGAGGTGCAGGGCGTCGCATTAAAAGTCTGTGGTTCCTTTCATCTTCTCCATCTTCGCTATCAGACAGTGATTCCAACTTTTCATATTTATTCCCATTGTATACGAGTCTACTTAGTTTATTAGGCGAACGTGATCTTGTTGGAGAAGTCTCTCTTTCGTTCACATTTGATCTTTCCGGAGAAATCGATCTTGAAGAAGGTGGATTTTGATTATGGGAACTCAATTTAGGGGGTAGTTTAAGGGTGAAAGGAATTGGAATTACATATTGGCTGCGCTCAGGCGAAGTACTGACATGTAAACGACTGAAAGCTGGAGAATTTGACAACAGCTTCAATTGCTTTGGAGATAATGACGAATTTGGTCCCGAGGTCATTGATCTGATATCCTCTTCACTAGCAAATGGTAGCGAAGGTAGTTTCATGTCAAAGAAGTTTGATGGTAAAGAACGACGGTTCTTAATTGGTGAACTCGATCGAGCTCTTCTCTCCGGTGTAACCACAGGCCTGGAATCTAAACTAATATCATCAACTGACATATTTGCTTTCAAGGGAACTTCCATAATAATTTTTCACCGACTTACAGGAAGTATATCTCAGTTTCTGGTCTTTTTTATCTTTCTGGTTTGGGCTGGGTTAAACGTAAGAAAAGAAAACTTTAAACAAACGAACGAATATCAATTATGAACAATCTTAAGGAAACCGTGCTTCTTCCTAATTAATGATGTTCTATTGTATTACTTATTTTGTATGTATGAAATTCTGAAATAAATTGATTCTGTTTACATCTTGTCCTAAAACGGTTATATATGATTCTGGAATATTTTTCTTCGGGCCTGTCGCATAATGACATTTTCTACATTTGATGCCCTCGCATAAGGAAGCCTTATCAGAATTTACCTTTCCATACGTCTTCAATACCGAAATAGGCATGATGCCGAGTTCATGAAATACTATACCTCTTGGCTCATAGAAGCTATACTCTTCTATTGGAACAAGATTCTTGTGTGCAGTACACACATATATTTGTTCTTGAGTAGGTTTTTGCAGCTTATTTGTGGTTCATGAATCCTAATCGTATTATAGGACGATAATAGTGTGAATATCCATCAGTAATACTTTTCCCAGGAAATGGACTGTGAAAATTCAGATATAAGCAAGAAATTTTCTTCTTTCGATAGTGAAATGGAAGTTCTCGATACCAAATTGAAAGGTATGACAATCTTTAATGATAGCACCAACCTACGTCAAAATGTGACGCTGCCTAATCCAGAGTTGTTTAAAAAGCTAGGAGAATTCCTGGAGCCAATTTCAAGTCAAAGGTTTAAGATTACAAGTCGGAACCAAGAAACCATGGATAGCGAATCCACAAATGTCACAAATGTAATACGCATGAACAAAGCAACCACAAGGGTTGGACTTTCGTTCCTTCCAGAACAAAGAGCAGCCATAAGCCGTAGAAATGGAGGTATTTTCTCATTGATGGTGGTCGGGTTGGCTGGTAGTGGTAAAACTACATTCATAAATACGTTGTTTGGAACTGATCTCATTAGTATCGATCGAAAGGAAGACACAAACTCCACTGCCAAGATAGCAACACGCGGCTTTGAGGTGGTCGAGGAAGGATTCTCGTTGAAGGTCAATGTTATCGATACTCCTGGATTTGGGGAATCAGTCGATAACCTGTTTGCTTGGGTGCCAGCAACAAAATATCTTGACGAACAATTGAAAGTACATTTACTTCAAGAAGAACAACCTGTTCGAAAAATTGGGATCGACAACCGGGTCCACTGTTGCTTGTACTTTCTTATTCCCAATGGAAAGGGTTTGAACCAACTAGATATTCTATCAATGAAGGAATTATCCAGGCGTGTCAACCTTATTCCAGTAATTTCAAAAAGTGACACCTTTGGTACAGAAGAGGTGAAAAGTTTCAAGTCAATAGTTAAGCAAACGCTAGAATTAAATAATATTACGATTTGTGGCAATATATTGGATCAGAATGTGAAAGACCAGATATACTCCCATATGCCATTTGCAGTCATAGGCTCCAATGAGTATCATGAAAACTCGCAGGGAAAGCTAGTTAGAGGAAGAAAGTATAAATGGGGCTTTGCTGAGGTGGAAAACCCTATGCATTGTGACTTCATTCATTTGAGAGAAGTATTAATGGGTAAGAATATGTTAGATCTTATATTATCAACAGACATGCATCATGAAAGTTTCCGTAGCCAGTACTTGGGTGAGAGATTTAAGGAAGCAATCAAGGAACAGTCTATTAGTGAAACATATATACAGAGAATGGATGGCTTAGAACAACTGATTTATTTCCACCAAAAGATATTGGCATCTTATAACGATACTACGAAGGAAGAAGACCCAATTCTCTTAGATAAGCAAATTAAAATGAAGGAAAAATTTGCCGGTATAATTGCAAACCAAGAACGAAGATTTAAAGATTGGAAAAAGGCCCTAATCGAAAAGCAGAATATTTTCAACAATGATATAGAAAAACTTCATAACAAGATTATCAAATTACAAGACCTAATTGCCCACCTAGAATCAGGCTACGTTATTGATAACGAGTCTGATTATGACTCGATAGAAAGCAATAATGAGGCTATTAAAAGCGAAAAGAAGGGTTCCAAAAATTCATTTATAGACTACGCATTACAATCTAAATAGATATATCAAATATTCAATCTCTACAATTGATTTTTGTAGTCCCTGTAGTGGCAATTCAAACGATATAATTAGTTTACAATACTAAAATATATAGATAGCAAATTTTTTGATTTAAAATCTAGTATCTAATATATGCCCTGAATCTCAATTATCTACATCAAGTTGAAAATCACAGACCGAGCGCAAACGCAATATGACAATGATAATTTTCAATTAGAATAAATTTTTATTCAATAATCAGATTTAATACTTGATTAAAGCTTCATTGTTGATTGATGCCCCTTCATTATTGACGTGAGGTAACATATTAATTAATAATAGAATGTCACTTTATCCGTATCATTCAGATGAAGATGAAGCTCGAAAAAATTCAAATTATCACGACTTTGATGAGTTAGTACCTTCAGAAGAGTTCGAGAATGCATCTAAACCATCTGATACTTTTCCAGGGCATAAATCAAGGCACATCAACGTAATTTTGGATCATTCTGCATTTGTAAGAGGAATTGGTAATATAAAGCGTTGGTTTAACCAAGAATATGTTAAAGCACATATTGACCCTGATGTTGCCGACGAAGAAATATATTTGAACATCTACATTCCAAGCTACACATTGCATGAATTTGATTATGTGAAGAAGGGGACTTCTATGATGGCAACTAATGCGAGAGAGGCCATTAGATTTATTGATAAAATATTTGAAAAAGAACTCAATGGAGAAGAGGAGACCGATACAACGAACCCAGATTCCAAGCCGGGAAAGAAGCCAATCATTTACGATCTTTACATTGAGTCGCCAAATGAATCTGGTCCATCTTGGTCTGAATGCTTAAATTATAAAGCACATTCACCGAAAATCAAGGAATTTCCAAATTTCAAGACAAAATTTGACTCCAACTTAATCGGCCAGCACCCACTTCCACAGGGAGAGTCCTTAGAAAGCCATAATAATTTCGACGAAACCAATTATAATAACTCTTCGGCTTACAAACAAAATAATAAGTTGAACGATATTCAGTATGAGAATTCCCAATCATATCAAAATGCTTTGGCAAATGCAGACGAACTTGCAGAAATGCCAACCCGTTTAAGATACTTAATCAGGTCTTGTATCTACAAAAGATTCATAGAAAGAAGATCTTTCAGTAGTCCTCTCGAGGAATGGAAACTTGTTACCGAAGATCCAATTACCAAGGTTTGGGCTAAAAGCTTTGGCATTGACTGCATGAATGTTAATGAAGCAGAGCTTTTAATTTTCCAATCGTATGACATCAACCAATATCAATTATATGACCCGCGCCAGAACTTTAGTGTCGACGATGAAAGCCATGCACCTAATAGCATATTGCAGAACACTATCGATACTACCTTATATTCCTACACCAAGATTGACCGTCCTTCCAAAAGCAAAAATAAAAACAAGAACAAAAACGCAAAGAAGTCTACCAAGCCAAAGCAAATCAACGGGGTAGTTAGTGACGGATGTACAGGTGCAAATGGTGATTTTGTCAAGAAAGAGAGATTTGATGCCATTAATTATGCACCAAGAGGTACTGGTGAGTTGTGGAAACCATGATATTCGATTTTTCATTCTTTCAACCTTCTTCCTCGCATAGACAAGCATCGAAATAGGCTTTCCCGGCATCTTCGTAATTCTGAGATAAAGACCTTAGTATTACACTACATGATGCTTCATTAGCTCTTGATATCTCGTATTCATGGTGTATATTTGTATATATATATATGAGTTAATAGTCTTATATGTCTTGCATGTTTAAAGAAATTGTGTAAAGCACGACTCACGAAACTCGTTTTCCTAAAGTTCAAAATTCACGACATCAAAACAGTATAAGCACGTAGATTATTCTTAATCATAGTATTTGACTAACAGAAGTATAGGATGAATCGGCAATTTCTGCGAGAGGAGATTCAGAAGATACTTCAACGTTGGCACCAGCTTAGACAACAGTTTGGTGACCAAGCGATTAATGTACCGGAGTTTACTCACCTCAGTAAAATTATTAAGTATCTCCAACAACAAAACCAGCAGTCGCTTCAGAGAAAGACTACTCCACAGGACACAACACAGTCACATACTCAACACCAGATTCCGCAGCAGCAACAGCAGCAGTTTCAAGCTCTGCCTCAGGTCGCTCAACCAATTAATAGTTCAAATGGTACCCCATCTGTTCCAAATGCAATGATGGGACAAGTTCCAGGAAATATGGGAGGAAATACACAGAGAACAGTTCCACAACAACAATTTCAGCCACCGCAGCAATCGACATTTACACCTCAGACCCAGGCACCGCAAGTGGTTCCTCAACAACAAATGCCATTTCAGAATGGAGCACCTGTGAACTCGAACAATATACCACCAACTATGCAAAATAATGTAAATACTTCATCCGAATCAGCGTTTTCAGCACAACAAGTACAGATGTTGAAGGTTCAATTTCAGGCGTTTAAGTTTCTTTTGAAAAGCCCTGGACCTGGTAGTCCATTGATTCCCCAGAATGTGATAGACTTCGTTACAAATGATAGATTAGCTTTTGCGAATGGAAACTATCTACCATCTATTGGTCAACAACCAGTTATTAATACACAAACTCCACAGTTTGCCCAACTGCAATTACCATCTAGACATCCGTCGCAAACTCAAAGCTCATTGGGCCCTAACTCGCAATCACCTATGATGCCGATGCAGCAAAATATGCCACAAGTGAATAAACCAATGCCCCCTAATAGTATTCCTTTTACAGCCCTGCAGGAAGACCTTCTGAACAGTCTTAAGAAACAAAATAAAAGAGGTCCTAAACCAAAAATGTTGAATCAAGGCATTAACTCTAATACAGTATCTGCAAATCAAGTACCTGGTCAGCAAATACCAAAGCGACAACCTAGCATTAAGCCTTCTATGAAGGATCGTAGTTTAACACCTTCAACGAATAATTCATTCAACCCCGTGTGTCTTGAACCTAAGCCACCAGTCAACATTGATGAATTGGTACCTGATAGAGCTACTACGACTAAGACAATAGTTCCTATAAATAGGCCTAATGTTCAAGTTGATTGTTTCGAAGTGCCGGACATTTTGAGTGATAAATTCAAGGATATCCCTTACACTGCTTTATACACAGTTCAAAGTCGTTTCCAAATTCCAGGACTCTTGCCAGAAGGAATCGACATGGAGAATATCATGAATAATAGGGAAGCTTTAATCATACTTCAGATTGATCAAAAGATTACATATTTGCGTAATCAATTAAAGGAATCTGATAGCGAAGATGAGAGTAATCAAATAAAGGCAGAAATAAGCAAATTAGAATTGTTGCCTTATCAAAAAGAATTACGTGGAAAAATTTTATCGCAAGCTTGGTTTAGTAAATCTTTATTACCAAATTCACACCCTAACTTTCTAGCAAAGTTCAATAATTTGTCTAGCGATAATGTGACATTGACGCATGAACTCTATAAACAACAGCTACATTCGTTGGTTCAAGCCCAGAACAAAAAACATCAAAGTACGATCAAAGAGATATTATCGGCAAAAGCTATGAGAAATAGAAGACAGTTTAGCAAAAAGGAGAAGATTGAGAGATTTTCTAACAAAATCAGTAGTTTCCATAGCCAAACAGCTAAAGAAGAACAGAAAAAGCTAGAGAAAATGGCCAAGCAACGTTTACAAGCCTTGAAACTGAATGATGAAGAAGCATACTTGAAATTATTAGATCATACCAAAGACACTAGAATCACTCACTTGTTAAAACAAACTAATCAATTTTTAGATTCTTTAGCTCAAGCAGTTCAATCTCAACAACAAGAATCACATGATAGAGCACAAAGAGCCGTTCCGGATAATAATGTAGATGTTTCTAATGATGAAGAAAAACGTGAAAAGATGGACTATTATCACGTAGCGCATCGTATCAAGGAAGAGGTGACTAAACAACCATCTATATTAGTTGGTGGGACGCTTAAGGAATACCAAATAAAAGGTTTGCAATGGATGGTGTCCTTATTCAACAATCATTTGAATGGGATTTTGGCTGATGAAATGGGTCTCGGTAAGACCATTCAAACAATTTCCTTATTAACGTACTTAATAGAAATTAAAAAAATCTCAGGCCCATTTCTAGTTATCGTACCATTGTCAACATTGACAAATTGGAATATAGAATTTGAAAAATGGGCACCAGGAGTTAGAAAGATTACTTATAAGGGAACTCCAACTCAACGTAAAGTTTTGCAGCATGATATTAAGCTGGGAAATTTCCAAATTTTATTAACAACTTTTGAATACATTATTAAAGACAGGAACTTATTATCCAAAGTCAAATGGGTACATATGATTATTGATGAAGGACATCGTATGAAAAATGCCAATTCGAAATTATCAGAAACTTTGACTCATCATTACCACAGTGATTACCGTTTGATTTTAACTGGTACGCCATTACAAAACAACTTACCAGAATTATGGGCATTATTAAATTTTGTTTTACCAAAGATTTTTAACTCAGTTAAGTCGTTCGATGAATGGTTTAATACGCCATTTGCAAATACAGGTGGTCAAGATAAAATTGAATTGAGCGAAGAAGAGACATTATTGGTTATTAGAAGATTGCATAAGGTTTTGAGACCCTTCCTTTTAAGAAGATTGAAGAAAGATGTTGAAAAAGATTTACCAAATAAAGTAGAAAAAGTTGTGAAGTGCAAAATGTCTTCTTTACAATCTAAATTGTATCAACAAATGTTGAAGCATAACATATTGTATGCGAGTAAACCTGATGAGGGCGATAAACCTGTTTTAATTAAAAATGCTAATAATCAAATTATGCAGTTAAGAAAGATATGTAATCATCCATTTGTTTATGAAGAGGTGGAAAATCTAATCAATCCCGCTTCTGAAACTAATGATCAAATTTGGAGAGTTGCCGGTAAATTTGAGTTGTTGGATAAAGTATTACCTAAGTTTAAGAATAGCGGTCATAGAGTTTTAATTTTCTTTCAAATGACTCAAATCATGGACATCATGGAAGATTTCTTAAGATTGCGTGGCATGAAATACATGAGGTTGGATGGTGGTACAAAGGCAGATGATAGAACTGGATTACTTAAATTATTTAATGCACCTGATTCAGATTATTTTTGTTTCTTATTGTCTACTAGAGCAGGTGGCTTAGGTTTGAATTTACAGACTGCTGATACTGTTATAATCTTTGATACTGATTGGAACCCGCATCAGGATTTACAAGCTCAAGATAGAGCTCATCGTATTGGTCAAAAGAATGAAGTCAGAATTTTAAGATTGATCACTGAAGATTCTGTTGAAGAAATGATTTTAGAAAGAGCGCATGCTAAGTTGGAGATTGACGGTAAGGTTATCCAGGCAGGTAAGTTTGACAATAAATCAACAGCCGAAGAACAAGAAGCATTGTTAAGAGCCTTGCTTGAAAAGGAAGAAGAACGTAAACAAAAGGGAATTGTTGATGACAATGATGATTTGGATGATGATGAACTTAATCAAGTTATTGCAAGAAATGATGATGAGTTAATTGCATTTAGGAAATTAGATGAAGAGAGATCAATCGAGACTAAGGAAGCCTCTTATCCAAGTCGTTTATACAGTGATCAAGAATTGCCTGAAATTTATCAAAAAGATCCTGAAGTTATATTAAAGAAGGATGAAGTTATTGAAGAGTATGGAAGAGGAAATAGAGAACGTAGAACAGCGTTATATGATGACAATTTGACTGAGGAACAATGGTTGAAAACAATCGAAGGAGTTGTATCGGATGATAGTGATGGTGAACGAGATTCCAAACCAAAACGTGCAAGAGGTAGGCCTCGTGGAATGCCTCGCTCTAATGATGATACAGATATGGATGAAAATGGAGAATTTCGTTCGCAGACCGGCTCTGTAAGTTCTAAGAAACGTAAAGCGTTTATAGATGATGATCTAAGTGATGATTCGTCTGCAAAGAGACAAAGACAAAGTACACCTAAATCTTCTGGTCCTCGTGGCCGTGGAAGGGGTAGAGGACGCGGTGGTCGCGGAAGAGGATCTTTATTATATCGTGCTACTCCAGCAATTGATCCGTTGTCTCCTGATGAAAGACAAACTTTACAAGGAAATATGATTACTATATACGATTCAATAATTAATCATACAGATGATCAAGGAAGAAGATTAAGTGATTTATTCTTGCAAAAGCCGTCGAAAAAGTTATACCCTGATTACTACGTTTTAATCAAACATCCAATAGCTTTGGATATAATCAAGAAACGAATACAAGGTAAAAGTTATACAAATATTCGAGAAACATTAGAAGACTTCCATTTAATGTTCAGTAATGCAAAAATTTACAATGAAGAAGGATCAATTGTTTACCAGGATGCTGTATCACTTGAAGACCTTGTGGTCGAAAAGTTTGAGGAATTGTGCTCTGACTTGGAGCCCGAAGAGATGAAGAAGACGCTTGATTTCACAGATTTTGACGAGATATTTAATTTAAAACCTTTATCATCAAATTCTGCAGTCAAGCAGCCTATAGACCGCAAAATTGAAGAGTTAGATGCAGACGAATCTTTTGAAAGTCCAATGTCCATTTCTGGAGCAGACGGATTGGATTTCGATGAAACACCCTTAGATATTAACTAATATTTTAAATCTACATTTCGAGCTGGGGTATATAATTCGTGTATATTATTTCATTAGTTTTTAATATATAATAACAAGATAAAGAATCTCATTACGTAGGGGTATATCTTGGCAATTCTTCGTCGATCTCAGCATTATTAGCAGTATCATTTAATACCTGATTAATTATCTCTACGAACGTAAATATCCCACCATCGTTAAATGCGATCTTGCCCTTAAACCACTCATTCTTTGGTAATCCATCGGTTATAACATTTGGTCTACTTGCATTGAAAAACATGAATTCCCAATAGTTCGGGCCAAACCACGGTGATTTCAATGCATGAGAAAAGTGCAAATCTTGAGCCCCCTTCATATCCACCAGAAAGCTATTGATGTCACCTTGGAGGGCTGTTATATATATCAAGCGTAAATTCGTTAAGTATATATATCCATCATTAGCCGTGATATTAATCTTTCTGGAAACTGGATCACGCAGTGATATTGATAAGGATTGTCTAGAAGTTGGAGTGGAAAATTTAACAACCTCTGCCGGTTCCAATAAAAATGGAATTTCCTGACTATTACCCAACTCTTTGGTATAGTTGTCAACTAATTCAACATTATTTATGGACATTGGAATAAATATATTATATTCAATGTTTGGATGGGAATAGCTATCATACTAAATCTATTGATGAGTAAGTAATGATCACGCGAGAAAATATATCCATGAATTTTTTTTCATCTCTAAACCAAAGGGCAATCTAGCATTAAGACTTATATACATAAGTCTACGAAGAAGTGATGCGTAAAATATATAGGTCATTGAATCCGTCATTAATTGAAAACTTTCAACAGTTTGGGTTTCCTAAATATCAGTATGGATATAGACATGTTGTAAGACCACAACCATGTCAAGATATCATAGATAAATTAAACCTCAAGAAAAAATACCCAAATTCACATAAAAATCTTGATATTATAGATGTATTCTCGGGTTATGGCTTATTTTCGAGTATGATTAACTACGAATTGAAACCAAGGAAGCATATTATTATTGAAGATAGTAAAGAAAATGTAAATATTTGGGAAGAACGTATTAAGTATTTGAAGGAGAAGACTGGTAATGCAGAAAACTTTGAACTATACCCTCATAATGGCTATAACTGGTCTACATTTGAATCTTTAATTAAGAATGATAAAATTATTGAACCAAGCATAAAGCCCAGAGACGAAATTCATGATGAATTGTTGATCATTGGAAACTTAACACCTCAAAAATTCGGTGAATCCTTACTAGCGCAATGGATCATGTGTTCTGTTTTCCAGAATTGGTTGCAGAAATATGGACGTATAAAAATGGTCTGCTTTGTTCCTGATTCTACAGCGCAGAAGTTTTTGTCAGGTCCTCGTTTTCCTAAACGAAACAAATCTGCTATCAAGAGGGAATTGTTTACCGATTCCAAGTTGATTGGCCTTGTGGAGTCTAGTGGAGATCATTCTATTCCAGACGGGACAGATTTTGATCCTAACTTACTAGTGAAAGACCAACCTTGTCTCATCCCATCAAGATCGATTTTACCAGCTGGTGCTCTGCTTGCAGTTGTGGAAATCGATCCAAAAAATTTACCTGAAATAGATTTTGAAATGATGGAGTATATTCTTCAAATATTGATGTATAAGTCTACTGGTAAACTTTCTGAAGCATTAGCCCAATTAGCACCTGGTGCAGAAATAGATTTAGCACCAAAGCTTTCCAAAGAAATTTTGAATAAATGCCCGAGAGACCTCTTAGCTGATGAAATCTGGGAAGTTTTCCATGTTTTTGATAAGTGGGCATTCAAACCGTCATTAACTGATACGATTGGTATAGTTCAAGAAGACACAAGAGTATTTTGAATCATCTTAACTTTTATTCCGTGTATATATCGTTTCCAAATCCTTGTAAATATAAGTAATTTAATTCAAGCCACTTATCTGTGCTCCATTTATCCATAGAAACATGGCCATTTTTAACAATATCAATTTTATATAGACACCTAACAATCTAGATTGCAATTTTTTACAGCCGTATATGAACCAACGCAATGCTGAAATGTATTAAAGCTACAATACCATCAAGTTTTATAAAATATGTATATTCTCAGTATAAACAAGCTAACAATATAAATTTGAAATTTAGAATTTTAAATAATCAGACAAAAAATCTGCAAATATGAAAAGAAAATGAATAGACATAAGATCTTAATAAGCGGAAATTATATGTAAAGATATACCGTTATACTATACACTCTATATGAATACCACTCATAATCTTTTTTACATTTGTCATTAATCCTATTCGGTAGGTACATTTGGTAAATTGCCGAAAAGCTCGACTAATTTACTATTATTGAATAAGTGATCTGAAGGTGGGCCAAAATACGATGAGTTAGGCAATACACGAAGCAAATTGTAGACGGTATTACCAACAAAATTTTGGGGTTGTTGCTGATTTTGTACAACATCCTTATTATTGGTAGGTTGATTATTATTATTCGATACTTCCGGAGTAAATTCATCTACTGTAGGATTTTGAATCTTCCGTCTCTTCGTCTCTTGAGCGGTATCGAATTCTTCATGACTAGTATCTTCTTTCCCTAAATCGAAATGTTTAATTACATCGATAGAATTACCACGGTATCTGTCACTAAATAATTCTATAGAGTCATCATCTGGGAAATATTCTTCATATCTACTATCCAAACTTTTAATCAAGTCTAAATCTCCATACACGCTCTGGTATCTCGAAAACTTTTTGATCAATTTCTTAATGCAATTCTTCTTTTTGATATTCTCCCTATTTTTACTTTCTTGTAACCTCATATTAGCGCCTGAAGCAATATCACCATTCAGATTCTCGTTCTCAATATTCACATCTTGCAATAGGGCTGTCAATCCTTGTTCGAACAAAACCTTAATACTTTCACCCTTATTGATCATAATTAAGAAGTCTAAATATGCTAATAAGAACTCGCCTTGTTTTTTGAAGTGTTTCATTCCCAATTCAAAAATTTTACTGGCTGTCTTCAAGTTATCCGAATGATATTCCATTAGAGCGTTCTCAACGTAAAATTCATAACCTATAGCTTCAAAACTGTTTCTTGCTTGTTTAAATATACCACGGGCTTCTTTAATGCCCCTTGATCTTTTACAAGCCATCATCAATTTTGTGTAAACCAAAGTTATTGCCTTATTCAATTCATCTTTCTTTTCCTGTAATTTTGATAAAAGTAAAGCATCCTCTTCACTAAGCTGGAATGTTGGGTTTTTAAAACTATCATCATCGTCATTGTCATCATTATCACTATCATCGTTTTCATTATTATTCTTTTCTCCATTATTTTCTTCTTGGCTTTTATTACTAAGTTCTCTGTTTGTAATTGATTCAATTTGATTGTTTATATTGTTATAATCGTTTGTTAAAAAAGTTATTAAATTATCGTAAGTTTCTGTGGCTTTATTAATAGTATTATCTTTTTCATACATTTCTGATAATTGAAAAGTTAATAAATAACTTCTAGGGTTTAATACTAAAGCTTCATTTAAAAGTTCAATGCATTTATTAGAATTAGCTTCTTCGTTACTGCGCAACCAAAACTTATTAAATTTAAACCACAATTCTGGAACAAATGGCAAAGCCATAATTGCTTGCTTATAGACATATTCGATTCTTTGCTGGACCAAAGAATCGTCTTTTAAATTCAACTTATTTTCCCGTTCAAGTGCAATCCACTTGTACCATAATTGAAGTTGAGTATGTACTAAGTTGTTATTATCATTATGGATCCCAATAGGTATAACTTCTCTACGTAACATCCTTTCGGTTGCATTATGCCATTCTGTATTCCACGATCTAGCGTCCATAAATTCACTAGACTTTTCCGCAATGAATTTATTAGCGGTAGAAGCATTAACCTCATTTTCCCATTTTGTATATGTGGACCAGATTTGCTCTATTTTTTCTGTTGGGATTACTAAAAACCTTTTATAGACTCTCCTTATCAAGTCTGTCTTTTGTTGTTGTTCCCAAGTTGCGGCCGGAGTCCACGCCTTTAAGAAATCCAAATAATCATTCCACAAATCACCACTACTTATATCTATGCCAACTTTAGTAACTGCGAATTCAAAAGCCTGAACCACGATACCACGAGCTTTTTCTCCTCCAGTAACCACATCATTGGTACGACGGACATACGAAACGTATAGACGGCACAATTCAACGTGATCAGTTATAGGAAGACATTTCGAGAATAATTGTTCAACTTCTTGGAATTCACCTCTATTCAATTGGTAGTTGATATAATTACACCATTGCTTACCCTAAAATTTGTTAGTATTGTTCCTTTTATGCGTTTAAGCTGAAATCGACAAAAATACAATTTATTCTAATAGATTATCTATGTAATTCATTCTTCCTCGATGTATTAGTCTAATGTAACAAAGGAGAATCAAAACGTTTGGCCATTTTATTAAGAATTCCAAAATAATGTAACTGGTAGTAATGCAAAAAAAGAAATGAACAGATGAAAACCATCGAAACATGAATCTATACATAATCTATCAACAAATGTATTTCACGGTAATGATACATACGTCAAACTTGAAAATACTCAAATATTTGTTGAATACAGATTTCACTTGCTCCTCCTTATCCTTAGCAAGAACCTGTTGGATTAATTTATTCCATTTATTATAATCCAATGGATCAGTCTCTAAATCATCTTCTAGTTGCCCGATAACATCCAACGACAATCTCTTCTTCTTATCAGCTTGGATAAACATATTGCTGGGCATGGAAAAGGATTGGTCGTAGTTATGTGAAATGCCGATATATTGTATTTAGAATGAATAAATAACCAAAAAGAAGTGTACTTAATTACTTAGTTCATGGTCAACGATGAGTCTGATATTGACTGCGACATTGTCGCAGTGATTAAAATGTCGTACTCATTCCTTCAATACAACTTATAGTTGACAAAGTAATAGTTCTTATTCTGCAATTCATTAACAAATAATGATTGAATTACATGTATGGGGACATGATTCCACTATATCTGTTATATCTCCTGAATGCTTAGCAAGTTCATGGCTTCTCAATTTACATTTGAAGCCACAAAACATACCATTCAAGATTGTAACTTCATCAAATACAAATTTATCAGAAACTGATAAGCTTCCACTTTTACTAGTATCTAACAAAGAATCAGTAAATGAACAATATGAGGGATTCCATAATATTTCACAATATATTTCTAAAACCTTCAATACCGAATACTCCACGGGAAATGACATTAAATATTTACCAAATCACAATTTGTCTTCGTCTGAACAGAAGCTAATCAATAGTAGTTTGACATCCTTTATTGAAAATAAGATCCATAATATAAGTCAGTATAATTTGTATATAAACACGAAGAACTATGAAAAGTACACCCGGAAGTTATTTCAGAAATTCTTCCCATTTCCAATGATGTACAACCAACCATTAAAATTTTACCATTCTGCCCAGAGACAGGTTCAAGTTATAGGATTGAACTCCAACAACCCAGGGTTTTTTAGCATATCGGGGACTGAAGCAGTAGCTCAGACAGAATATTTCAACGACGATAACGACGATGATGATACTGACGCTGATCCAGTCGCTATAAGTTCCTTGCATGAGAAGCAATTATTAGCAAAATCGAAACGTAAGGATTTGTTGAAGGAATCAAGAAATTCATTAAAGTGCTTGAATCTCGTGAACGAATATATAGACTACGTTGTGCTGTTATACCAGGAACTCAATTCATCTAACAAGCCTGATGAATTTTCGTATTTGTTTTCTGATAAAGCTTCCAATGCCATATCTTCCTCCGAATTGCTATTTTTCGCCTACATACATTCGCTTTGTCTTCCAGAGCTTCCTGACAAGTTTATTGCTAACTACCTTACTTTGAAGTATCCGAAATTCCTCACATTCATATACGACACTACCTCCAAGTTAAACGAAAGCCTATACAAAGAAAAATCGATATTCCGTGAACCCGAAGGAATTGAAGTTCCTAACTTATGGAATGAGTTGAAATATTCAACGGGATATGTTAAATACTAACATATATACTAAAGTTCATATTGTACATAGTGTAATCGATAACATCCATTCAGTTTTGCCCTATCTTATATGCTTTATAGAGATTTGGCTAACATAAAGTTACCCGGTTTTCATAGGCAGTTGTTTCTCATCGCCTCGCTTTTATCACTATTTTGAATTATTTACTTTTGATTTCTTTTAATCACAACTAACTAATACTTCGAAGAATATAGATTAATATACATCTTATATCGAAATCCAACTGCAGAATGTAAAGAAGCGCGATATCAAGCGTATTTTATTATTATTAGTATTATTATTATTATTATTATTATTATTATTATTATTAGCTCAAAAGCGATCTTTGGCTTGTTGAATTTATTTACTTTATGTATGTTCTCTGTAGTTCATATCTATGAACGTTTCCCTGGCAATCTTAGCATAGTTTCATTTTATACTAAAGTCAATGTATCTAATGATGGAATTTACTTGCCAAATATCAATTTCAATCCATACTATTTAAGTATCACTATTCTCCTGGTAGAATGTGAAGTTTACTGCTTATTTAGAGAATTTACATCCATATAATATCCTCCGTCATGGGTAATAAGCCGTTCGTAAGCATCCATTTAGTACCGGCATCTGTAATAACCGAGAGCATCCAAAAGTTGGACATCACGTGAGCAAATTCTTGATTCACACCACTTAAGTAAGACGGTGCCCACAGTACACTGTTCAGTGGACAGTCCTAGGGGTTCTGTGTGTGTCTATCTAAGATACGTACGAAACACCCTAGTCTGTATAGGTATATTTACCGGAAAATCCGCTTCGATGACTTCTGGTCAATGGTCTGAGTGATTTAAAAAAGCGCGAGAATTATAAAAACCGATCAAAATGAAAAACATATCAAAACTACCTCTCTTTTCAAGTTGAATATAGGATAACGATGAGGTTATTGAAATTATTTACGCTTGCTATTTTAGCAGTTGAATCTAGTGCTTTAACTATCACTCAACCACCGAAAGCCACAGATGCCATAGAGGTCTTAGTGGCCACGGAGGCCACAGAGGCTCCAAGGCTAGCAAAGAGGGCCAGGGTGAAGGAAAAGATCTATGGTAAGGATTATCAGAAGCAACAGGCTGAAAAAGAAGGAAAAGGTGAACCTAGTACAACAGAAATGCCAAAGCCTTGGGCAAGAACAATTATATCTGCTTCATCCACCAAGGTTGTGCTCGTTAGGCCAACAGTTATTGCTGGTGTTACATTTAGTACCCGTCCACCAAAGACGACCAATGGAATGGAAAAATGGGTCAGTTTGAATAAAGATGGTTCTCCAAAAACCATAAAACCACAAAATAAGGGTGGGCAAACAAAGAATGGAAAACCAGATTATGGAACATGGTTCGGTACTGCGACCATAATTCCAATGGGGAAAGATGACATCAAAGCTGAAAATATGGAGGAAGGCGAGGTCTATGAACATGAGGAAAATATCCCAGAAGACCCAACCCACCACGAATTGAACCCTATAATTAGATGTACGCCCGATAGATACTTCAAGAAGGGTATGGGCAAAAACATTAATTCTGAGCCTTTCTGTACCCCACATGATAACCAGCAATTGAAAATGGACAAGACATACTTTATTACGTGGTTTAGCAGGTATTTCAAGGACGCCAAAAAAGTTAGAGTCCATTTATCGTACCTTAAGGAAACTGTCAGGCAAAAAGGTTTGAAGCGTTCGCTCGAAGATGATTTGGAAGGAGAACAAAATCTTACTAAAAGATCATCCCTGCTCGAAAAAGGGGCTACTATCAAAGAATCATCATTTTTCTACTCTGACTGGCTTGATGTAGAAGAGGGAATGCTCCCGATCACAATCTTGGAAGAATGGTTTGGAAAAAAGGATTGGTACAGAAAAGTCTTAATTTCTCTTCAACCAGATAATGTTGACAATGAGGAATTCGATTACACCAAGGATTCAGTGGTAGTTGAGATCAGTAAGGGTGCAGTGGTCAGTAAGGGCCAGTTCCAGGATCTTAAGAAATTAGAAGAAAAATGGAGAAATAAGGGTTTAAATGTTGAATACGAAGACTCATCTCCCTATGAAAAGTACTACATCATGATGGCTGTTCCATCATGTGTTGCTCTTTTTGGTCTAGGTATGTACATCTTTGTCATGATCAACAATAAGAATATTGATTTAAGTCATTTAAAGAAAAGACAATCTGCCGGAAGGAAGACGACCCACAGAAGAATTCCTTTCAAAAAGAAGGCGACTCCGTACTCTGAATTACCGCAGTATAAGAATGATACTGGAGCTAAGGCTGATTAATTGTTCCCTGTTTATAGACTATATGACAGTATATAGGTGTTAAAAATTCCGATAACGATCCACGTGATCATACTAATAAATAACTATCGAGGTAATAATCTCATCACCATACAAAGTATCCTACTTAAATTACTCCTTCTCTAGGGTTGATCCTTGTTTATTTTATTGTAAAATCTACCTGTATCTCTTGAATATGGTAGACTTAAGTTTTGCATCGAATCAGGGATGGTACCTTACGTTGTTATCGTCATCGCTATGTGTCTTAGGATGTTTTGTGATATACTTTGATGACATATATACTTTTGTATTCCCAAGATCGGTTACGAAGAAATATAATTTCCAGTTAAAGGAGAATTATCTGTTCTTAAACGGAGCATTAGCATTTAGTTCTGGATGCTTATTATTCACGGCGCTTTTCAAATTATTACCGGAGGCATTGGAATACTTCCACGATTTCAATGAGCATGATAGAGTCAAATCAGATAAGATGCAAGAAAAGGAACTTAACTTTTATTTGATTATATCCTTTATAAGTGGAATCTTATTATGTTTTCTGTTTAATGCAGTGTTGCATTTGATAACTAGTCAATCGGTGGTGCATTGTAATCACGGCGGCGAACAACGTCCGCACAACCATTCGCATAGTAATGATTTGGAGCTGGGCCATGGAGAAGATGAATATAATGACTCTTTAAGCTCTAATGAGGGAGAACATAATCATTTTCATACGCATGCAAATACAGGGGATATCCCTGATGCAGTTATAGAAACCACGCCTTTGTTAGACGAACATAAACCGTCAATGAAGAAAAGACCGTCGCTAATTCAATATTTCATGACACATGATGGCGACGAGACGGCTCTTGGAGAATGTAAAGGGTATTCTTCGGCCGAATTGTGCTTGTTTAACAAAAACAAGGCATCAGAATTGCATTTTTGCGAGATTCCAACACTCGCCAAATCGATAGATCTTAATGACGATGAACTACATGCTATACATTCTCCTCTGTCACACTTTGCTGCTGGTTCCAGCCATTCCCACAAGAACAACGACGAATATGCGCATCCGTACGAGGACCATGCATATCTGCAAGGTGAAGACCATAGCACTCACAAACCAGACCATCACCACCACGTAAATACTCCTTTGTCTCGTCTATTACTAATCGGAATCCAGACCACCTTGGCAATATCCTTACACAAGCTCCCAGAAGGGTTTATTACATTTATTACATCAGAGGCAAACCCCGACCTAGGCTTTCTGATATTCCTAAGTCTAGCGGCGCATAACTTCACCGAAGGTTTTCTGATGTGTCTACCACTATACTTTCTGTTTTCGTCGTCCCCAAAAGGTTTTGCAAAGCTTAAAGCTGTTGCCATCAGTTCCATCCTAGGGGGCTTGTCCCAGCCTTTAGGTGCTATCGTAGGCTACTTTTTTTTGAAATACAATGATAAAGGTGATTCATTCAATATTCATAGTCTTAGTTTTGTGCTCGGTGTCGCTTTGGCCGTGACAAGTGGTTTTTTGACTGTGATCGGCCTTTCGATGTATGGCTCCGCCATTTCTTTTAATGGTGGAATGCTGAACTTGCTTTTGTTCTGGTGCATCCTAGGCATGTGCATAATTGGCTTATCTTCAATTGCTAGTCATTAAGGGACATTTATACATCTATATATTGGTTATTTTGCATCTATTTTCAAATATACGCGCTATTTCTCTTCTATTATAAAACTTCCGTGTAAACTTGAGTACACACAAAAGAATCATCAATCATGTGGTCTGAAGAACATTATTAAAATATTGCCATTAGAACAGTATAGTGATAATATCCAAGTATTAATCTAATATATGTTTAAAATTATACTGCTATAATACTACTAGACAATTTCTATTAATATCACAAAGTTCTACGAAGAATAATATTCATAAAATATGATGGCGCATGAATTACCCTTACTGATTCATACGAAGAAATCTAATCATAATGTCCCACAATCCAAAGCTCCAAGTGCAAAAACCAACAAGCACAAACCTCTGAAAAATGGTAGTGATGAAAGAGGATTGCCTAACGGTGACAAGGTGGATTTTGGGAATAAATCCAGCTCGAATACGAATAAGAAATCGACTAAAAAGGCATCTAAGCACACGTCATCAAACCCATCTAATAACAAAGGGGTGGCTAGATTATTGCCAGATGGAAGCAAGCCGAATTTCGGTAACGAATCCAGTCATCAGAATGGAGGTAATCATAAAAAACAGAATAATGAGCCATGTTTACCTAATGGTGAGAAACCCAACTTTGGTGAAGGCTCCAAGTCCCATTCGAAAAAGAAAAATAACGACTCGTTCCTTCCTAGTGGAGAAAAGCCTAATTTTTCCAACGATAAGTCGTCTAAGAAAGCTACGAAGCCCAAGGAAAAGAAGCCACTCATCACGGAAGATACGTATGCTGGTTCCTCGTTTCATTCCTCCCCGGCAGCATTAAATTTGCCAAAGCCGTCTTTCAAGACATCTCCTAAGGCAAACGATGCCAAGCAACATACAATTGAGCCAGATTATCACATTAACCCTCAAGCTAGAGCACCACCTCAACTTCCTGTCAATGTACCACCCCAACATCCTGTTACTGCTTATCCGGCAGGGAATGGTGTACCAAATGTTCCTACTGCCCCTTCGAATCCAACTGTCTTTCCTCCTGGAAACCATTACGCTCAACCTGGTTTTTCGTACTATGTTACTCCCCAAGGCTACATCAATTATCAATACCCTCATGTACCACCTCCACCACCACCTCAGGGCAGTGGTTTCCCAATGGTTGCACCTCAGTATCAGCAACAATCACAACAACAACCACCGCAACAACAACCACCACGACAACAACCACCACCACAACAACAACAACCACAACAACAACATCATCATCGCCCACATCATCTTCCTGCTATTGCTGCTCCGCAGCAAGGTCACAGAATCAGTTTTAATGAATTGTTGGGTTCGTCTAAGAACTAGTCATTTTAATTCTCATCAATTAATATTTTTGTTGTCAAATTTTATTGTTGCTGTTATGTTTGTTTTTATCAACTTTATTTCTTGGATTTAGTTAAATTAGCTGGTTGAACTATGTACAAATTTGTTATATTTTGTTATTTGGTTTTCCTACCGTTCTTAGTTAGCTATTTGGAGTTATCATATCATGGTATTGCATGAATAGTTGTTCTACAGGGCAGAATATACCTATTTACAGTGATATAATGCGGCTTTTACGATTAAGCACTTCGTCTAGAAGATGAATATTCACCATATTACAGATTTAAGTTTTTTTTCATGTTTTGATTTTAAATTGGGTTAGTTTATTTTATTTGTTTTTAATACTTATACATGGCATTTTTTTTAGCTTATCTGCATTTGAATATACTGGCTAGTTATATATATATATAGTAACATTGGTCTGTATCTTTATTCTATATTAGTAATAAATAACTGTGGTTACGTCTTTTTACTCTCTCGCGATAAAATTGGTCCTAGGAAAAGAGAAAAATTATGTCATTTTGAATGTTTACAAATTGTATACAACGACACATAACTATTGAATTATAGAAGTATGATGACCGGTAAGGAAGCAAGAATCACATTTCTTATAGTCTTGGATACATTTTTCTTCCTTTTGGAAGCTATTGTAGGTTATAGTGTCCACTCACTTGCATTAGTTGCTGACTCATTTCATATGCTAAATGACATTATTTCGTTGGTTATTGCATTATGGGCAGTTAGATATAAGAATACTAAGCCTGCTGATGGTAAGTATACTTATGGATGGCAAAGAGCTGAGATTTTAGGAGCACTTATTAATGCTGTTTTCCTTTTGGCGTTATGTTTTACAATTGTTCTTGAAGCAATACAAAGATTTTTCGAACCACAAGAAATTACACAGCCTAAGTTGATATTAATCGTTGGTATTTGCGGATTACTTAGTAATGGTGTTGGTTTAGTATTGTTCCATGAGCATGGCCATTCTCACTCTCATGGTGGTTCAGAAAGTGGCCACGGTCATTCCCATGGCGATATCGAAGCGGGTGAATCAGGTGTTGCTAATGAGAGCCATGATCACAATGAATCAAGTTCCGACTTTATGGAATATATGCCAAATAACGTTGTTGGTCGCTACAATGAGAATAGCCCATTAATTAAAAATGACAATGCAACGAAGAACAATGTTAAAAGAAAGTCCATGAATATGGAAGGTGTCTTTTTACATGTCTTGGGTGATGCGTTAGGAAATATTGGGGTCATTGCGACGGCTTTATTTATTTGGAAGACTGATTATTCTTGGAGATTTTATTTTGACCCAGTTATTTCTTTACTTATAACAGTTATTATTTTTACTTCTGCATTATCATTATGTCGTAAATCATCCAAGATTCTTTTGCAAGCAACTCCAGCACATGTTAATTCAAATTTGATATTAAACGAGATAATTAAGTTAGAATCAGTTAAATCTGTCCACGATTTTCATATTTGGAATTTGAATGAGGACATTTTAATCGCTTCATTGCATGTTGAATTGAACCACGGACCAGAAGTAAACAATACTTCAAACGATACTATAGATCAAATTGATAGAGTCACATTTGTCAACGCTGTCACACAAGTGAGAGAAATTTTACATCGCTTTGGAATCCATAGTGCTACGATTCAACCAGAATTTTCTAATGACTCCAAAAAATTGAATAAGAAAGTAAGTGCTTATGGTCAAACCAACATCGATAATTGTATTGTTGATGGTGCCTCAGGGTGTGATAATGATCAATGTTTAAAATGATTTATTTAGTGTATCCATATGTAGTTAAGATGGATTATATGAACTTTAGAATATAAAACCAATTATAATTTGATTTATCATTAGACCATTAATTGTATTATATGTATTAGAGAATATGGACTTCACTACTAATTAACATTCAAATCTTTAATCATCTGTAAATACAAAGTATATATACTGGGATTAATATCGAGGCTTGCTCCTTGATCTAAATCGTTTAATTGGTGAAGTATATCCTTTCTTTTTTGGGCTCTTGATTTCAGGTTGGCTATAACCAAACACATTAATTAAATCATAGGAGTCATCATCCTCTTCCTCTTCCTCATCTATTCCATTTAACAGGTTGAATGCGTCAAGATCTTGCTCGACTGATGGTAGTTCCCTAACGGAATATATGTCGTCATCAGGAAAATTTATCGAAGATTTTGGACTTATAGTAGACAATGTAGTAGTATCGCTTGTGAATCTACTTCTAGGTGTCTCTTCTAGTACAGGTAAATCAAAAAATGAATCTTCACCCTCAGACTGCAATAACTGAGATACTTTATTATAAAATTTGAGCCATGTGAATTCCAGTTCAGTTGAAAACTCGTTTCGTCCAACATGTTCTAGAATAGTTAACACCAATGCTTCACCAATCAAGTTGTAATGGTTCACATCAAAGTTCCATATACGAGAACATATTTTTCCCATCCCTAATAGTCCTGATCTATTATTATGAATGTTCTCTAAATCGTAGATAATATTAGATATCAAACGTATTAACTCTGGTAAATGGTCAAACATTGTATCTTCAAACTTGGAAACATCGAAATTGTTGTAAGTGCCACCTTCAGAGTCATGATTTAAACTTATATATTGCAATAAATTAGACTTTAATTTAAAGACAAACACGTTTGATCTCTCATCATCGATTCCCACAGAACTTCCAAAGTTCATATTTATAACATTCAGTCTAGCAACCATTGGCATGAATGCAAGTAATAGATCATCCTCTTGTCTTATATTTGGTATAGTAGACTTGTTAACTTGAGAGTTTGAACCGGCAAACCCTGAAGCCAATACTATCCTTAACAGACTCCATATCTTTTTAATCGCGTCAATTTCATTCCGACTGAAATTCATCCCTGTATCATCGAATGACAGAACCGTTGACGTCCGCTCAATGTATACCGCTGTCATGCTGTAATGAAAAAGAAAACTAATACTATTTCTTTAATTTGATTTGGGTAACCCTAAATATAGCTTACACCCTTCGAAAACCTGTTCTTCCCCAGAGACGTCGGCTACAGATTCTAATACAGAAATGTTAGAGCTAATTGGCTGATTAGGTTAAAATACTTCCCTCGGAAGTACGTTGCTGTAGAATATGTCTTCGCTTAATTGTTCGGAGTTAATGTTAAGGCATGTTCAAGAGAACTGGTTGTAGTTTTCGATACATATTTCCCTCTTAGGAAAGTCTATTGATTCCTTTTATGCGTCCGCGGTAATGTCCCAGGCAACACAATAGAGATATGATAACTCTATACAGTTCAGAAGAATCTCAGAATTATTCTAATCTCCACTTCCGAACCTTCCAAGCCAAGATGCGCTTATCCAGTTGGTATTGTCGAAAGCTTATTGGTAATGTCGAACAAAAACGCATAAATTGTATGCGTAGCAGCTATTTCAAATGCTTCTTATTTTTATTATACAATTAGTACAAGAAATGATATTTGTGTCAACTCGTGTTGTATTCTGGTTTTATCTAAAGAGTTAATTACAGAAATTAAATTAAAGGGTAATTATAAATATAAAGAGCGTCCAGACAGAATGCACCGAATAAACTTTAAAGTTTAATTATCGATGTAGCATAGAAAGCCCACAATCATGGATGGTACATTAAGTCAGAAAGCTCCACGAAAAGATACATAGCGGTTGTGAAAATGTTGTGAAAATGTAATCATAAATCAAACAATTTAATATCATCACCAGGACAATAATTAAGATTATTTAGCAAAAACATCGTAAGGAACAGCTTTAACATTGTATTTCATGCCCTTCTTTTGAGAAGAGGAATATCTTGAATCGATTGAATTTCTCTTCTTGAAGAACGAGAAGCCCGAAATATTAGATCTGTTTGTATCAGTGGTACAAATAGATGCTAAATCCGAAGTCAGATCACATGCTAATGAGGATTTTCTGGTGGTAGTAGTAGACGAGGAAGATGAGAAAATTGAAGACAATCTCGATCTTAACGACTTTCTCTTTGATTCAGTTGATGCATATGAATTAGTACTTTGTAAGTCTGAGTTTGATCTAACGTGCCTTGGTGTTGCCCTTGTTGAAGATGCCATGGTTTTGGTAGCTTGTTTGTCGTTAGAAAGGTTTGTCACAGGAACAAACGAATTTAACAAGTCGTAACACCCATCAGAACCTGTACCAGAGCTAATGGTACTCTGGAGAGATGCTGTGCTATTCTTAGCCGAACTATTGGAAGAGCTGCTAACAGCTGCTGGAATAGTAGGAGGTTTGAGAAGAACGTTTTCAGGTTCATTGAAACCCTGTTCAGAGATTTCCTTTTTCAAGATGAAACTACTTCTCATGAAACCAAGCGATGCCCTTTGTTTGAATTGCTGTTGGCTACTAGTTCTAGACATTTGGTAGGTAGATGATAATGATGCAGATGATGATTGAAGTCTTGCCACAGCAGGAATAGGTTCAGCCGATTGGGCAGAGAGTCCATTCATGGAGCTTACGTCACTTGATGTTGATGTTTGTCTAACACCATGGCTCATTTGAAACTTATTAAGGTCTGGAGATGGTGATACTGAAGTGGCATCACTTCCAGAATTAATAGATGACCTGAAGTCACTATTATGTAAAGACAATGTAGATGCACCCGAGCTTATTTCATCCCCGTCCGAAGATAAACGAGTGCCATAACGAGATGAAGCATTATCGTTATCGACATCTTCATCGCTTTCATATTTCGATGAAGCTGTGTCATCAAATTCAGATTCGACGATTGGCTCTAACCCTTTTATACCAAAGCTATTGTAGTCAAATGCAGAAGGCTTTGTTCTTTCAACTGAAGGTTCTTGTTTCACTTCAAAATTGTAAGAATCATCCTCAACATCACTTACAGAGGTCTCTCTAGAATGACTGTTGAATAATGGGGATGTAGGCTCAAATTCAGATTCTTCATCTGAGATGACTGGAGATTGAGACTTTCTTTTAGAAAGTCTACGAGGATCAAATCCAAAACCTTTTTCCTTCTCAGTAAATTCATCGTCAGAATCATCCGAGATAACATTCGATGGTTTTGTAAAAGCCATCTTACGGGGATCAATCTTAGGTGTCTGTTGCTTTGGTTGTGCTTGTTGTGCTTGTTGTGCTTGTACTTGTTGTTGTTGTACTGGTTCTGGAATCAGCTCCTTCAAAGATGAACCCCTTCTTGAAGAACGAGGAGTAAGTATTGGTTCACATTCTTCAGTTTCAGTAGATGGTGATCTTCTTCTTGATCCACGAGGATCAAAAGAGGAGGAATTTTCATTTGATAAGGTCAGTTCTTGTTCATTCAATGAAGCTGGCGAACGAGATAAACTCCTCATTTTTCTTGGGTCAAAAGGTGCGGATGGTGGGCTAAGTGGTGGTGTGACTTGTTGGAATGTAGGCGTATTTGGAATTTGAATTGAAATTGGTTCAACTTCCGAACATTGCACACTTCTTCTAAATCCTCTGTACTTTTCATTGTTTGAAAGTTGGAATTGGATGGTGCTGGTATTAAGTGGTTTTATGGATTTATCTTGGGTAATCTCTGGTTGAGGAGCTTCTTGTTGTATCTCGTTATGTATATTATCGTTTTCTTCTTTCTTTTCCTCTGGTTGAGTTGACTGCGCTTCAGGTTGTTGTTCCTGTTGAACCTCTTCCTTTGTTATTTGTTCTACTGGAGGACGTCTTCTTGGTCTTAATGCTTCGATTGGGGCTTCTTCGAGCGAGCGAGTTTCCTTCAAGGACTCTTCAAACTGTAATATACAGTTTGCAATATACAAATAGACTTGAACCCATAAGGATTGTATTTGGTCATTGAATGTTCCTTGTCCCAACCATTGGCGGAAAGTAACTATTAAGGCCGAACCCATTGGCTCAAGGTATTCAGAACCAACCTCGACAAATTTTGGGTTTTCCCTCAAGAAAGCATTCATACACTGGTTTAAAGTGTATTCATCGTCCAAGTATAGCATGGTGAAACTCAACAAGTCCCCAAATAAAGTAGATTGTTCAGTAATAATAGACTCTGAATGGAAGACCTTTCTCAACTTAGGGTTAGCAGCAACCAAGTTTGAAAATAACCTAGTAATAAAATCATCTTTATGGTATTTGTTATTAGCTTGTAAGCTTGACCAACAGGTGGTAAGCTTCTGAATATCTTCTCCAGATAAATTTAACTGAGCAGACATTTTGTATAGTTGTTCCCAATATAATCAAGAATAAGTAAAGTATATTTCGTTATATTACAGCAAACTGCCTATTCTTTCAAATGTTTTAAAAAATGGGATTTGAATTCTTTTATATTTTGAAATATATTCAAAAAGGTAACTAAATTATTTTATGCCTATTCTGTAGCATTAACTCTATCCGTTAATTTAAAAATTCCCTTATACAGAAACCCTCTTATGATAAATTCCCTCGACCTAATTATTACATTACCTATTTTGGTAGTTTTGAGCTGCTAATCAAAGACAGGGGCATAACAGATAGTGGAGACATAGTTTCATTTGCAGTAAATTCAAATATTTTAATCAATTTTCCCAATTAGGTAATTTTTGAGAGGTCGTAAATAGTCTTTACCGTATAAGGAAGTTTTACATCTTCTTTACCCAAAGTAGTAAATTAGTGATTTTCGCAGGGAAATAGAAGCCTGTGCGGACAATTTTTAGCAGTATAACTAGATACATTCAACATTCGCACTTCCTTCCAAATATAGAAGTCAACGAGTGTGGCTCTTAATTGATAGAAGCATATTAGTATACAATATTGCTCCTATTTGGATAAGTTCACAGGACAAAGTCAAGTTCACAAGACTCAGATAAATATTTATCGATTTACCCAACCAAGATAATACTTGAATGCAGGTTTTTATTCGCTGGATACATCATCTAGTGTTAGACGAGTGAGTAGTGCAAATCATGGGTAAAGCCATTATTCATTAATGAAGGTGTATTAGAAGACTTTTTGCTAGATAATTAGTTTAATCATAATATGGCTAATTGATAACCATTAACACCAGCTATTGAGAAAAATTGTCTAGGGATCTTCATTGTAGGAATGTAGATTGGCTCTATATTGCGAGGAGTAAAAACTCCGCAGAGTGATATCGTGACTTGCCCCCATACTTACAATTCAATAATTTAAGACGTTGGGTATTAAATGACATAATTACATACACTAGCAACTTGTTTTCAATTCCTCGTCTGATGCGGGTACAGCTCGACGAACTTCTGCTTCATGGCTTGTTTCTTCTTGAACTGGTTCTTTCTGTAATACATCTACTGCTTTATCTCCTTTTGTTGTTTCTACTTGTTCTGCTTCTCCTTTTCCTTTATCGAAGTCAGAATCTCCAGGAGCGTTGGTTCCATTTTGCTCTATTGCTAGCTGTTTGCTGGTTTCTTGTTTAGATTCTAACTTTTTGCGTCTCTCTCTCTCTTTCTGCATTTCTCCAGCGAGCCAATGCTCTGCATGTTCAAGTTGTCCATTGAAAACATTCGTTAGTCTCGTAATCATTTCTAATGATTCTCTGGCAAATACGAATATCCTATCGTTAGCCTGTTGCGCAGAGGTGTTATTCGTTATTGCTGCCTGTTGGATTGTAGTTGGTAACTTTAATATAATATCACGTATGGTAGATTTAAATTCCAAGTCCTCCGACCTTGTTTCAGGATCCACTTCGTTTATATCCGGAGAAATTGTATTCGTATTTAATGATGAAGGCTTGAATGTGGATATGACGTGAATAATTTTCTTAACCGTTGCAACTATTTCAGTTTTAGTTTGTTGGGCTTCCGACTGCGCATCTTGCGTGGAAACATTATTGGTAGTAGCATTGTTCGCATTGAGTGTATTGTCAGTGGTAGCATCGGTATTTTCCTGTGATTCGGCAACACCTTCATTATTTATATCATCCGCTTTGTTAGAAGAGTTATTAAGTGACCTTTTCTCTTTGATTGAACGTTCTTTATCAATAACTTTTTGTTGCAAAAAGTTAACTTTATAATTAATTCGATCATTGGCCAAACGTAAAAGGTGTAAGCAAAACTGAAGTCTTTTTTTGGTTTCCATCGTAACTACTTTATTATAGTCCCCTGCACCACCTAATCGTCTCTTTTTAACCGTCACGGACGAATCCTGGCCTGATCCCCCTTCGAGTTTTAATTGTTTAGCTTGATATCTATTATTTAAATTAACTTCAATTTTGTTGACAACAGGAATAGCAGCCTTTTCCACTATACCAGCTGCATAGTTAAAGGCACCATAGTTCCTTTTAGAGTTTTCATAATATTTAACTGCGTTTGTCACAATAGGATGCTTGGATACTTTACTAACTTTTGTCACTAACGGATGTTCACCCTGATTTGCCTTATGTTCGGTATTTCTCTCGTTATTTCTGTCATCGAGCGATGATGAAACCGATGAAACAGGAGTTGGCATGCTTGGCTGACGATTATTTATCGCTAAAGGAGGTGTGGAGCTTCTAGTAAGCTGTGTTAATGCCTCTGCTGCAGAAAATAGATCATTATCATTTGAGTTGAGGTTCCCAGGCTTCTCTTTATTTTCGTATGGTGGTGGTGGTGACGACGATGAGGTTGAACATGGCGAAGAAATTGACGGCTCTGAGAACTTCCTCTTCGCAGTCTTATTCCCTTTAGTCATACTCACTGTGATAAGGGCCTTAATTAACACAAAATATGTAGTTGTCGTAATATAGAGTCGGAGAATGAAGGAGCATTATCATTTCTTTCGTATTCTGAGAGTAAAACTTTCTGGGTCAAGGCATGTGATTATTTTTTTTTTTTGGCATCTTTTTTACTGCACTAGAAAAATGAAATGTTGAGTATAGGGAATACCAATAGATGCAAATTAAGCCATATACTTTGTTATAAAACGCTCTCTGACAACCCTATATAGTAAATGACATATATAACTAGATTATTTAGTAGAGCACAATTTATAATCAACTAATAATATTTTTAAAATTTGTAGATAAACAGAAAATTTTGTTGCAAAATCAAACTTCAGTGTCTTCAAGCTTTATAAAACTTGAAGGTCCATATTTCGTTTCTTCTTGCTCCAATTTCTTGGATGACACCCACCCTCTACCAAGAATAAAGATACGTCTAAATTTATTATTATTTTGATCTCTCTTTAATACATCCTGGTACCTTATATTAAGCACTTTCGAATCATTTTCATTAAGAAGATGGTTAATATCAACTTGCTTTAAAACAGAATTGCCATTGCCATTACAAGGATCAATTTGCTTTAAGACATTACCATTACCGTTACAAGGAACTGTCGAGGGCTCTGTAAACTTGGGTTTGACCAATTGTTCCCTAATATATTTTTTCCATTTTTCCCTTCCTTCAGTGGTAGAAATATCAAATGATTTACTAAAGTTGGAACCATTTGGATCAGCATTTTCATTTCGAATAGAACCAATGGCAATACTTGAATCTACTTTAGAATTAGTTGCTAAAGTAGAAAGTTTAGAGTGAGAATTATTGGTCTCTTCTGTTGATTTTTGCACATTTGTTTTGTTATCAATCTTAGAGTTTTCATTATTTTTGTAGGTACCTTGAACTTTTCTCGCTTGAGACAGTTTTTTGTAATATGCCGAATTTTCAATTGGAGGTGGAGGCAAAATTGCAGCAGTGGGACCACAGCTTGAGTATAGGTAACCTTTCAATTGGGAGAAGTCGATAATAGTTTTTTCAAGATTCTCAGAAATGGTTTCGATTTCTCTTCGAACGTCTCCTCCTCGATTAAGTCTACCATGTAGATTCCTGGTCTCAGATTTAATGGTGCCAATTAACGAGGAAACTGTGCTATAAAGTTCCACTTGTTTTTCATTTAAAATCTCAAAGTTGTCTCCTAAGTATCGAATATTTCTTCCAAAATGCTCAAAATCTCTATTTCTAAAAATAAAAGTGGCGATCGAATGAATAGCAATAAACACTTGAATAAATAGACTAATAACCACACCGGTTATTACAAACCAGCTAGAGCCGGTTGATGAACCATTGAAATCAACTGCTCTATCTAAAATATCAGCCTGATGATAACAAGCTTGAATATTCAACAACACGGCTAAATCATTAGCATTATCAGATACCATACTAAGACAGCTATGCACATGTTAGTAAATGCTCATTCATTATTTTCAAAAAAAGTTTAACGGACCTTTCCAATTGAGTAAACGAAACTGTACTCATTCCATTTCTTGACTCTCCACTCAATTCATTGCGGTATTGTCTGAAACATTGTATACTATCCGATTTATCACTACATTTGACAATTGATTTAAAAGCATTTGACTGTGTTAATTGGAATAATGGCTTATCGACATTGAAGCGTGGTTTGGTTGATGTTGATACATAAATAAAATTTCCAGAAAGAAATACCAAAATTAACAAGAACAAAGGATGAATGCCAGTAGAATAATTAAATTTAAATAATCTTGAAGCAACCGCCTTGTCTTGGACTGGTTGCATGGTTATTGTTTATTGTCTTAGAAAAGGGTATAAAGAACAATAGTTTAGACGCTTATATGGTTTAAACCAAATTTTCGCAGCCACAAATACATGCTCGATTTTGATATCAAAATTCTATTAAACAAGACAATAAAAACTATACAATAGATGCAAATAAAATTAAAAGAAATAAATAAATGTAGAAAAAGTACACCTTCAAGTCATAATAACAAATAAGAAGACAAACTTTTCATAAAGTATAAAAAATTTATTCATCCTTTTGATGAGATTGGACGTACTCAGCAGCTTTAGCTTTAACGCGAGCAGCAAATTGTTGATCATCCTTTTCTTCTTCGAAGGAGAGCCACTTGCTAAAGAAGAATTTGGCTTGCTTACGAGATAATTTTTTGGTAATGGCCCTTTCAAATAAATCTTCGACCTTAGCCTTATTATCTTGTTTAATTTCTTGGTCGATATAAACATTCCACAAGTCAATTCTCTTTGGAACATCAGAAATTAACCCTTCGAATAATGATCTACCCTGTTCAGGATCTCCCTTTGTAAATTCTAATTGTCCAAATTTTCTAACAACCTCAATATGTTCTCTCTTAGGCAAAACTTGTAAAGAACGGGCCAAAACTTCGTGTGCTTCGTCATTTAATTGACGATCTAACAAGGAAGATCCGTATTGAACCCAAATAGAAACATTCTTACCGAATTTCTTACACATGACTTTATATAATTCATCAGCCTTTCTAAACTTTTCAGACATGGTGTAGATACTCACTAATTTTTGATGCATAGTTAATGAGTCCATGTATTGACATGAACGCTTGAAAGTTTCTTCTAATGTATCGTCAGTGCCGAATGTGTTTTCCAAATTCAACAATGCTATCCAAATGTTCATCTTCTCTTGTTCTTCACGATAATTAATTGTCTTTAATGCTCTTTCACCAATTTCACGTGCCTTATCAACTTCACTTAATTGTAATTGGAATGACATGTAATTCATCCACATGATAGAGGAATTTGGGTTACCAACCAATAATCGTTCAAAATCAGATACAGATTGTGGCGCTCTAGTATTTAAATCGGCAGTCTTATCCTCAATAACTTTCAGAGTCTTCTTTTTCTTCTTCTTTTCATGTGTAAAATCCTCTTCGTCAGATGATGAATAGTTATCTTCAGCTTGATCCAATATAGACGCCGTCCAATCGAAACCATTAGTAGATAATCCAGATACACCAGTCGATCTGGCATTATCATTCTCTTGATCATCTTCACTGTCGCTCTCGTTTTCGCTAGCATCATTTTCATTTTCCAAGACATCTTCCATTACTTCATCGTCAGATTCAGCATTTTCATGTTCATCATCAGATTCAGAACCAGAGTCGTTTTGATCATTCGCGTCGGACATCTCAACATCATCTTGCTCGGAAGAAGCATCAGCATTAGTGAAGTAGGATGCTTTCATACCTAATGATAATTGTTTCTTTTCTTGATCAATTGCTAAAATCTTGACTTTGACACGATCACCTTCTCCAAATAAGGATGAAACATTTTCAACATCATTATCTGCAATCTGAGAATGGTGACATAAACCACTGATATTCACCGTTCCATCCAATTTAATGAAAACACCAAAATCAGTAACTCTTCTAACGGAACCTTCAAATATTTCACCTAACTCTAAATCTTCAAATTTCTTCAAGACATTCAATTCACCATTAACTTCACTTTCCTTCAAGGTCATAAGAATACGACCCTCTTCCTTACAGGATGAAATCTTACCAAGGATTGGTTGGTGAGGTTTGAAATATTTCTTCCAGTCTTTTAAGAATGAATCTGATAAGTCAGTGATTCTAACCAAAGCATGTATCGATCTACCTAATGCAACATAAACACCATTATTTGCAATGTTTTTAACAAATCCCCTTACGATATCACCGCGGTTTAAATCTTCTATAGAATCAATGACTTTATCAGTAGCATCGTTATTACGCAAAGAGACGGCAATCTTTTTCGATTCTTCATCAACAGCTAAAACAGTAGCTGTACAGAAATCATTAGTATGGAAAACATTATCTAATTTTTCAGTATAATCGTTCAATGCATCAGTAATAAACGAAGAAGCGACGAGATTTTTGCCTAATTCAACCAATACAAAAGTGTCTCTTACCTTTAAAACTCTTGCAGGCAACTTATCGCCGACCTTTACATCTTTAATGGTACCCATAGTGGTGTTTCTTGCACTCAAAACAACAGTATTATGGTCATTATCAATATCTTTAACTGTAGCCTCTATAGCCATACCAATAGGCAACTTGTTTTCTATATCATCAAATACCGAGACATCATCGCTCAATTCCATAAATGAGATACGCCCCTTAATGGTTGGTGTAATGGATACCCATACAAATCCTTTTGCAACGTTATTAATAAAAGCAACCCATTTTGAACCTTCTGAAGTGTTTGATAAGTTCAACATATGGTATGGTTCATCTGGAGTTTTCAATTCTTTTTCAAGCATAGACAACTCTAAAATGATATTTTTGTTGGATTTACGATGAGTGATTGGTAAAAATCTGTGTGTTTTTGCATCATGGAATCCAATAACTTTAACTTTAATTTTATCATTCTTATGGAACTGTGATAAGGGCTGTTTTTTATCTTTGATTTCAGACCATGAGTTGAAACATTGTGTGATGTCGACTCTACCTTGTAGATTATCTGCTAATTGAACATTCAATTGAGTACCTTTAATAGATTTAACGACCGCACTAGTAATCACACCAGGAGTATAATCACCAATTGTGGACTTACCACCATCAATTGGATTGATAACTTCTTCTGTGTTGGAGGAATCCTTAGAATTTTCACTCTTCTTTAAAGATAATAAAAATCTTTTGTTTTCTTCATCAATTCTAATAACACGACAGGAAACAGATTGATACTTGTAGAACTTTTTGGACAAGTCCTCATCTGGCTTATCAGTTGCATACTTAGCCAATACTAAACCAGTTAATTTACCAGCAAATGAGATAAATAAACCCATATTAGTAACAGATTTAATGTAACCGTGTAACATCTTATTATCCACCTTTATATCCTTAAAATATGCTGGAACTTCGCTTTGTTTAGCAGCTTCAATTAAAGATGCTTTGGCAGAAACAGTGACAGACCTAGATTTCAAATCCTTTTCCAAAACAAGAACTTCAATTTTTTCTCCAATTGGTAACTTCTTAAAAATAGATCTATTCTGTTCGTAGTTACCATCTGACAAATGCCCGCTAAAGATAACCCCACGCAAATTGCTATTTTCCAACTCAACAATCACGGATTCTTTGGCCTTCTCAACGACAATTGCAGTGGTGATAGATTTACCTGGATACAAGTCAGATATAGTGGCTTTTTGAGAATCACTCAAGTCAATGGATTGTCTTAATGTAACCATCAACCTTTGATCATCTTTGTTAACATTTAATATCTTAACGTTTACCGTCTGTCCTATCTTCAAATGGTCGCTTGCTTGATTCACGAATGTCTCGGATATTTCATTCTTAGGTAAATAAGCCCTTAAATTGCCAAAGAAAGAAACAATGGCACCATTATGAACAAATTTCTCAACAGTTGCAGGAGACTTAAATCCAACAGTGGCCTTATCGAAACTAGTCAAAATTTCATCATCTTCAATATTGACTAATGATTTCTTTAAAGTAAGGAACAATTTTTTGCCTTGCTTTCTTAAGACTCTACCCTTGACTTTACCACCGACTTTGAATTTTCTTTCAGGATAGACTAATCTGACATCAGACATATGATTACCTGGAACTAACGCTTCAAAATCATTGAGAATCTTGACGACGATTCCAGCTGAGTCAGGCAAAACCTTGACAATTTCGCCACCGTTGACCAATTCACCAACTGGTATGTCATCAGTGGTCAAAAACTTAGAATCAATTAATTTTGGTTCCATAGTTAAAACTAATAAGTTTTCGATTGAATTATAACCAATTACTCTTGCCTTATGCTTTGAGCCAACAGAATAGTCAATTTCCAAATTTTTCAGCGGGTCGATTTTAGAATTATGAACTTGGCCATGTAAAGTAGAAGACCCAAAACTAACAAACACATAATTAGGATCGCTTCCCTTCACTTCAACTTCTTCAAATATATGACCTATTGGAAATGCATCTAAAGCACTAGAGTCATCCGATGGACTAGATGAAAAAGATATTATATGTGGTAATTGAGACAACATTAATCTTTTAGTACCGCTCTTTAATAAGATACCGGTCACTCTAGCCTTTATATTATTACCAATAGTATACTTATGTTTTAAAGTTTGTAAATCGAAATCATTTAAATTTGGTAAGTTAATAGTAGCATCGACTAAACCAAAGACCTTTGTAATAATACCATTTTTGGTAATATCTGATACTAATGCATCTACTAAAATACCAGGTTCAATTGCATCTACCGACGAAATAGTAGATACTGAGGCTTTCTTGGAAGTAGAATTAGATTGCACTGGTCTTAAAGTAATTGTTCTTGACGATGGCTTTGATACTATACTGGTTAACAAAACATCACCAACCTTCAAGTCTTCAGATTCGATGTCTTTACTATTCTTCAACTCTTTATTAGAAATGAAACCGGAAAAGTTTGATCTACCGACATTCAAGATAACACCATGATCTTCAATGGATTTAATAGAACATTGCAACAAGTTTCCCGGGGTAAGATCTTCATCCTCTAAGGTGGCATTAACAACTTCTGGTTCAATAGATAATTGGATTCTTTTCTTTTTAGAATCACTTGAGGGCTTGACAACTTTAGCTCTTAACCATTGTCCAATCTTGAAAATCTCTTTCAAAACAGGGAATTCGGCATTCTTGGTCTTTAATGTTGCAGTCTGTATTTCCTGATCCTTTTCATTGCCATCGTATTGCAATTCTTCTTCGTCTTCACTGTCTTCATCTGCTTCTTCGAACTTTTCGATTTGCTCCGTGATCTCTTCACTTATAGACGTAATTGGAATATAACCAACCAAATTATCACCTACAGACAACGTCAAGTCTAATTTTCCAATATTAGTAATTTGACCCAATACTTGGGTGCCTGGAATCAAATTCTTGAAGTTAAAATTTTCAATTTGAACATTCGATTTCTCTTCCTCGTCTTCGTTGGTCGACTTAGCAGCCTTCTTCTTAGATCCCTTCTTAGATTTCTTAGATGGTTGGTCTGACTTGGACGAACTGGATCTTTTAGATGCACTAGAAGCTTCGAAGAGAACATCTTTTGTTGCTTCATTGGAGATGTCCTTAATTTCTAAAGCTGATAAAGCAGTAGCTCCTCCTCTAGGAAAGGCAACATCACTACTACTTATAACAGATTTGGATGTTGTAGGATCCGCCATACTGTCCTATCTAATAATATATGTTTCTGAAAAAGTGTAGTAGATTAAGAGTTTAAGAATACTTCTCGTAGACTATTTGTTCAATTTTTTCACCATCACCACCATGTCATCGTGCTAGATTTTTTTTAGAAAACTTTTTGGGATCACGTGACAATATCATCGAAGATACTAATAGTAGGTAGATCCTTGATGTCTATACATCCTAGGATCTTGGAGGGTAACCGAAACGTATGAACAAACCAATCACTGATTATTATCTATTGAATAAATTTGTAGTTAGTGATACTAAAGGGATGTTTTTGAAGGGTTTAGGTAGTTTTTGGTGATTTAGTATATTTTGCATCCTAATAGCCAGACTATGTTGGATTGATCTTACATAGGTTAGACACGGCCAAGATTCTCTATAAAATATGTTTATTAAAGGTTGGTTATAGTGTTCAGCTTATAAATTAATATAGTATTATTTAATTCTTCTATTATTTACCGAACCCGTATCTTTCCTTTCTTTCATGATCCGTGCAGCCTCTTCAGCATTATACTTCTTAGTCAACTTTGAGTAAAACAACCCGCAAGCATTACAAAGTGTCCTATTACCATCCAAGCCTTTCCTCCATTCTGGTGTATTTTTTGAACCGCAATGGTTGCAGCGTATTTCCTGCCGTACGCTCAAATCCGGATTTAGAGCGCCAAGATCAAGAGGTGAGGTTGAAGAACCAGAATATAGTGTTGGCTTTTTAATTTCTAGAGGAACTATACTACCACCGATATCAAGAACTGTAGAGTCTGTCTTGTGGCCAGTGTCTATGTTGCCCATACTGGATTTGCGTCTCTTGCTTGATATCTTAGTGCCTGTAGATGGTTTACGGATGGGCGACAATTGTGTCGAGTATAGTGGTTGCAGCTTCGGAGGCGACATTTTTGTTAGTGCTTTATTTGCAGCCGTTTCGTCTTCCTTGATATATTGTAATATCATAGCTTTGAAATCTGTCAATGTCGCAATATTATCGTTATATTCAGCTATTAGGTTGTCAATGCTTTGCGGGAATGTATTTAGTACAAACTGCTTAAATGATTCGTGAGTGATAAATTTGGTATGGTTTGAGCTAGTAATGTAGCCATGTAATAAATTAGAACCTTCGATGTTCCTCTCAGGTGTTTGCTCAACCAATGCCAGATAGTTATTTCGAATAACTTGCATTTCATTACTCCGAGCACTAGAATCCAACATTTTGCTCAATGACGATAATAGGTTCTCTTCATCATCTTTTCGAGTAGATTCTTCAGATATATCAGTAAATGCAATATTTGGCAAGGATGAGCTTTTTGAATGCATAGGGCGTTGTTGGTCTCCTGGAGATGTGACTTCAGCATCTCTGGTAGGAAATCGATAGCTACCATATCTAAAATCTCTGTGCCCGTACGAATATGTTCGATGTTTGTCAATGGTCGATTCGCCTATTTTTAAGTCTTTTGGACTAGTCAAATCACCACCAGAAACTGGTTGAGTTATTATCGTAGGAAGTATTTCTGAAGAAGATGATCTCAATGTCTTAGGCCTTGTATTCTCCTGTCGCAGGTAAGGGTCAAATGACTGGATTAATTCTGAGAAGGATGGTAGCCTGAATGTTAGTATTCATCACATATTGTAAGTTTTCAAATTAAACATACCGTCTATGCTGTGACGTCGGGTCGCCGTCCTTATTCTTACTCATTATGTTGTACAATAATTATTGGATATTCATACAATTTAGGTATATCATAAATTCCCATAAGTTTATGTTTATAAATGAACAGGCAATACTTAACCTGATACTAACTATTGAGCATAAAAGAAGTTGCTAGTATGGATTAGTTTAAATTAAAATATATTATTTAATTCTTGTTCGTATGGGTAAGTTAACCACAAAATAATTTTTGCAATCGTATCTTTGCGAATTTACGGCAACTTACATAAATCTACATGTACTAAGTACACATTATAATTATATTTCAAGATTCTTATTATAACCCTTATTATAATTATATAACACCAAATTGATCTGAATAGATTTCATAAGGAAATTATTACTAAATTGGTCTCATTTCTTCTTTTTGCTTTTGGGTCTAGATCTTCTAGAACTTTGATTTTGTTGTATGACTACCGTTCCATCTCGAACATCATCAGGTTCATTCTTAAATTTTTCTTGACTTTCTAAATAAAACATCAAATCATTAACTTGCTCCGTTAGGTCTTTATTTTGTGTTGTCAATTGTTTATTTTCATCCGATAAATATTCGACTTTAGACGAAAGGCCATCATTCAAAGAATTCGAATTATTTAGCTCCTTTGTTAGTACATTAATTTTTTCATCTTTAAGAGCAATTTTGCTTTTTAAAGATGGAATGGTGGTTGTAGTTAGATCATTTAGTTTTCCATTCATCTCCTCGAACTTAGCTTCTAGATCCTTGATAGAATTTTGGTTGGAGGTAGTATCTGATGCAAGGGATCCACGATGGGACCGTGAACCCGCCCTGTCATTTAGGAGCGACTCATAATATTCTCTTTGACTTGCCAACTGGCTGATTAATAATTGAGAGTATTCAAACCCAACCTCATCAACCTTATCAAAGTTGGGATTGGCGTTATTTGATTTGAAATTGATGTTGGAGTTACCAAACGCATTGAATTGCCCATTAATACTGTTATATGTTTCCTTTTCTGGTAATTCAACCAATTTCCCATCTGATTCGTTTGCTACTAACCTGTGAACGTAATTATCACCTGCATAATCCCATACTCTAGATGTGTTAAGTTCCATCGCAAAACAATGTCCTGTACTAATGAAATGCTTTAGTGAATGCTGTTCTGGCGCATATCTATCGCAACCTAGATTCCCACAAATAAGGCAAATCCAAAGATTTGAATCAACCTGACAATCGAAACAACGTTCAGCACTGTCAATATTATATGTCCCATCACTTGGTGCACCAAATGAATTGGAAGGACCAGGTATGGGTGTTGTATGCTGTGATCTCGAGGAGCTGAATTGCAGTAACCGTCTAATTGATCTTCGTATTTTCTGATTGGATACATTATTAGAATAGCGACAGATCGGGCAGGTGTCATCTTTCCATTTAGAAAGACATTGGCAATGGAATGTATGCTGACAGGGTATAGTTAACAATCCAGTGACTGCTGAGTCCATTCTATCTAAGCATACGGGACATGTAGGCAATTCCATTAGAATTCCACTGGTCTGCTTTTTAAATAATGCCGACGATTTGGGGTTGGGACTATTCGGGTGAGACACTGGGGGAGATGTAAAAGGATCATTCAACAAGAATGGTATCAAAGACTCCGAGGCTTCTGAAGAAACATTATCTATTTGACCCCCTGCGTCAAATCTAATTGATTTCACAAACACAACATGACAGGCTTCTGGCTCCATCGAGTTAAACGGCTTGCCGTTATACTTCAATTGAAATTCGGCCGTTTTTAATATGTCATTGAATTTTATCAAAACTAAAAACCGATTAGGCTTTTCACTCTTTAGAATTCGTAAATGCGTTATGTACTTCATATATGAATCACCAATGAAGCCCAATAAGTCTGTAGCCGTAAAGTAGGTAGGTACGGCAATTATTGACACCATTGTATCATCACCCTCCGTTGCATTTGGATAGGAAAATGGTTCTGAGGCTGCTGATGATGTGGAAGAAAGAAAGTCCAGCGAAGTTTCATCCTCTTCAAATTCCCTATACAAACGAATGTTACCATCACCCAAGAACTTTGCCTTTAAGGGTTCAATGTCGTTCGTGGCCATTTCGGATCTGTTCTCACTTGATGTATCTATTGCTGTAACTTCGATTGGAGAATATCTATAATCTAGTAATGAATGGTTATCTTGCGACTCAGGTATTTCAATGATAATATGATAAGAATCAGTTCCTATCATTATTTGACTCTAATGAACCAAGCTATAACGAGTCTTACGTATGTATCTATAATGTGATTTATACCCGTATCTAAGAACACTGATGCTCACTAGTGCGTACAATTACCATATCTATAACAGTTTATAATGTACATACAATATCTATGTCTACTCTTCGTTTATTTAGCTATAGAGAAAATTTTGACTTATCAAAGTGGACAAGACTTTTTAATATTTCACCACCATCACCAATAACAAGTTCTTCTTCTCCATCTAAAACTTTAAGTGCCTGTTCATTTGGAATCCAGATAACGTACGAGTTTGCAGCAATACCTGATTTCACACCTGGTATACCATCTTCAAATATAAGACATTCCTCTATTAAGACAGGATCTAAACCTTGCTCTTGCCTTTCTTTATTGAGACTATCCAAACATGCAAACCAAATATCGGGGTGTGGCTTTCCTCTTCCAGGTGGAATTCTCTCATCATCTCCAGTCACAATATGCGGACCAAATAGTTTAAAACCATCCTGCAAATGTGCCGTCTTTCTATTAAAATTGAATGTATTAGAACTTGTCCCAAGAGCAATAGGAATTGAACTATCATACAAATACTGCAACAATTCTAACGCACCCGGTAAGAATTTGGAATGATGCCACTTGTTCTCTTGTTTTTTGATGGCTAATTGAGAAAATTCTTCAGGGGTTAATGATAAATTGTACTCTTCAATGATGATTTTAACGGCCTCAGGGCCAGGTCTTCCTTGTAATCTAATCTTTACGTCCCACGTCAATGGACCTTTTCCAAAATCATCCAATAATTCTGTGGTACATTCTGTATATATATCTTCCGTATTAAGGATAGTTCCATCCATATCTGCAATGTTAATATCATATTGGGTCAAATTAGAGAGAAAATATCAATGATTATTGCAAAATGGAAAAATAGATTTCTACTTACCGAAAAGACATGCCTTGATGTTTTTGGGACTAAATGTTAGTTTTTGCTTCAGAAAAATCACTGGAATAAGAAGACTTATACTTACAATTGGGCCATATTAAATGAGTGTATTTAGTGGATACAATAGTATGTGCTAGGAATATGGAATATAAATCATGGGATAAAGTCCAAAAATTCAGGCTTTTCAACAAATCTCTTTATTACATAAGCATGGTCAAACAGTTACTACGTATTCTTTCTACTTTACCTATTCATTATTACAATAAGAATCATATAATTAAGGGAAATGAATATTCATACTTTAGAGGAACCTATAATGGAGCATTTTTAAATAAATAAGAGATACTTTCACCATTATGTAATCTTCTGATAGCTTCTGCCAATACGGCAGAAACGTCAATGGTGTCTAACTTAGGACAAAGCAGTAATTTTTCTTCAAATGGAACGGTGTTTGTACAAATAACCTTAGTCAATTTAGAATTATTAATGTTTTTGATTGCGTTACCGGACAAAATCCCGTGGGTGACAATAGCAATAACCTCTTTTGCACCATTATCCAATAAAACTTCAGCTGCTTTAGCTAAAGTACCACATGTGTCAGCCATGTCGTCGACAATAATAGAGATCTTGTCAGTTACATCACCGACTAAGACCATCTTCGACACTTCGTTCGCCCGGGCTCTTTCTTTGTGGATTAAGGCAAAATTCAAATCTAACCTGTCGGCTAAACCTGCAGCCCTCTTTGCACCACCGGCATCAGGAGAGATCATGATTGCGTCTTTATAGTTGATAGTTTCTTTAATATATCTCACCACACTTGGCTCGGCATATAAATTGTCCACTGGAACATCGAAAAACCCTTGAATCTGGGAGGCATGTAAGTCCATAGTAATGACATGGTTACATCCCGATGTCGTCAACATATCCGCCATTAATTTGGCAGTAATAGGTGCTCTGGATTTATCCTTTCTATCTTGTCTGGCATATGGAAAGTTTGGCAATATAACAGAAATTCTTCTTGCACTGGCGGTTTTACAAGCATTTATCATGATCAATAACTCTATAACTCGGTCATTAACCTCTCCTGATCCAATCTGACAAATTATGAAGATGTCTTCGTCTCTAACTGATTCCCCAATGGAAAACTGAACCTCTCCTGTTGAATCTCTTTTCAATTCAGAAGGCGTCAATTTCATACCCAATCTTTTGGCAACTAGTTCAGCCAAGCCTCTATGAACATCACTGGCTAGCAATTTGATGGAATTTGTAGACATCGTTATTAGGTGTCAAAAATGTAATTTAATAAAAAAATTCTTAGTGAGCAGAAGTCAACAAAAATGAATAAACTCAAGGGAAGAGAGTATTGTCAACAATCAACTAAATTAGCTGGAGAAACTTTTATTGAACAAGAGAAGTTACTTGACTCTGTCTTAAACTCCTAAACTCTCCTTCAAACTCATCCTGCAATAGATCGTAGTCAAGATTTTTTTATTATGTCAATGCGATGTTCGTGAGACATTTTTACATAGTAGAGACAATGTCGTGAAAAAAAGTATATACCTAGAATAAGTCATCTATATCGTCAAGGTTATCATCAGGTGTACCGTTTTCCTCTTCTTGGTCGTCGTGATCATCAAGATATTGATTTGAGCCAAAAGTTTCCGTATTAGTATCTTTATTTGGATCCATTTTTTGTTGTAATTGTTGCTGATCGCTGACGATTTTGGCCAACTCTCTCTTCTTAGTATCCAATGAAGCTTTCAAGGTATTGTAGCTTGTTTGGAACTTCATCTTCATCATCTTGTGAGTGGCAGAGGCAAGTCCCTTTCTATGGACTTCCACAGCATTCTCCAAGTCAGCAATTTCTTCTTCTAGCATCTTTACATGTTCTTTATCTGCCTTTGATTCGTCATCTTCGTCGTCATTTTCATCATTTTCATCATCTTCGTCATCTTCTTCATCATCTTCATCTTCCTCTTCCTCTTCTTCTTCCTCTTCTTGTCCCTCTTCTTCCTCTATACCTTCGCCATCAACCTCATTCTCCATGTTTATGTCACCTACCATAGTTTCGTCATTTTCAAGTGCTTTAGCCAACTCTTCTTCCAAATCACCTTCATCGCTTTGAGGGAGCATTTCTTGTTCCTCTTCGTCTTCACTCCCATTATTAAATTGCGCCTGTAAGTCTGTCGAAATTGCTGATGGGGTTGCCACAGCCGACAGTGTTCCACTAATATTACTGAATCTATGCTGATTAGTTTGTTGTTTAGTCAAGTCCACGATTTCAAAATGGCTTTCTTCCGCTTCATCATCAAGCCTAATCAATTCGTCGATCCTTTGTTCTATATCTTCAACAACTCTATGGTTAACTTTACGTGGCTTGAATCTCCTGTACACTTCTTCAAATGGGTATATAAGACCATTCTTAAGCACAGTCTTAGTCGGTTTTAATTCATGTTTTGGTGACATCTTATAAAGAGGATGTACGTGTGTCAAGTCGCTAGGCACCTCGAAATCCCTCTCCAAATTCAAATCTGATGGATTCACTGGGTACAACACCAACAATATCTGACAAATGTCAAAAGTTTTAAAGATATTCTTCTTGTCAATAGTTTTGTACAACTCGGTGATAGTTGGTAAGTCAAGTAACTTTGCTGAATATAATGTACCGTTAACATTGACAACTGCCTTCACTTTAGTCACCCATTTAATATTTAATCCTGTAAGATCTCCAGAATCAACTGCATTATGTACAAAGTCTAGGTTTGCATCATTTAGAAATCGTATTATTATACCTTGTTCAATCAATGGGTCGTCTTCAAGATCTGGTGCCTCTGAATCGTATCCATCACCTGGAACCCTGGTTGGTTTTATTCTAACCTTAGGAACAGATCTAGTTGGCTGTCCACCATTTCCTCGTATACCTATATTATCTATTTCTGGATTCTTCTGCTTTATATTGAGTTTTAGTTTCTTATGCTTAGCACCTGCTTCTTGTTGTTTCTTAGTAACTTTATTCTCCTTTTGCTTTGGCGGTTTTATTTTAAGTTTTGGGAGTCCTGATGAACTAGCTTGATTATTGCTCCCATTCCCATTCGATTGGCCTGGACCTGTAGAAGGCACCTTAAGCTTCAACTTCAATGCCATATTGCATAGATTCGAATATACTACTTCACCCAAAGGTGTTTTTGTAAATTTTAGGTGAAATATAAATCACATGATTAGCAAATATAAAATATGCAATATGTCCGCCTAAGATGAATTGAAGGATGAATCTTCACTTCAAGTTACTAAGGTTGAAAGGTCGTTGGAATGGGACAGTCATCAAGAAACGTTCATCATCCGCCAAGAAGTAGAAGATCTTCGTCGATAGACCGGAGGTCTCGTCATAACTCGATTTCTTCCATGGACTCATCGACCAGCTTCTTGATCGATGACAACAACCATGAAATGTTTTCGGGTGCCGCTTCGGAAATTATACCGTCGTCTATCACATCTTTACACTATCCCCATCATTTTGGAAGGTTTAAAAGTCGTCAAGGATCCAGTGTTTCCAGAGAAACGTCACCATTGTTGGAAACTGATTACAATCAGGCTGTCGATATGGAATCAGTTAGATCCAATGAGAGTGCCAATTCCCATGAAACTCAAAGAGGTTTCAAGTTCTTTTCACTTGATGAAATCGAACTGGCACCTGGTGGATCAACGTTGGAAAATCCCGAGGATCCAATCGACTACAATACTAATTGGGATTATTCAGTTGATAAATACACAGAAGAAGAGCCTATAGAATTAGATGAAGGCCCATCACTTTTTCACACCCAACCAGGAAGTTCCAGCAAGTATATGCAACAAGATAATGTTGACCTTGAAAGCAGTTACGGATCATTAAACTCGAATTCAGCTTCGCACTTCGAGCGTCGCAATAGAAGTGATTCTGGCGATTCTGACAAGAGTGGCTCGCTGATTAATAAAAGCGTGGATTATGATAAAGGCGAAGAAACTCTTAAAGATTATCCCGCTGTTTCTAAGTATCAGAGATTCTACTTGGCAGAGGAAGATTTAGTTATTGGTATTGCGGGATATACTAACTGTTTGTGGAAAAAAGTAATATACTATTTTATTTGCTTTGCAACCTTAGGATTAGGATACTTAGTTTTGAGATGGTTTCCTAAATACAAAGTCAATTTAAGGGGGAATCAATCGCCATTGGGAAAAGCTGAGTGGTGTGTTATTGAGAATGAATATGGTGAATTGATTATAGTCGATGTTACTAAACAGAAGCATAATGAAAGACTTTCTCATTTTTTGACTGTTTATGAATCTGAGAAAGACTCAGAAGACAATGGGAAATTGGACTTATTTGATCAGAAAGAAACAGATCCAGTTATTCCTTATATGCATTCATTTACTTATAGATACATAAAGTTTTTCTATAATCCAGTGGAAGATATGTTCAAGAATAATTCTAATTGGTACGATGTTCGTTGGCTTAATATCAAAAATACAAAAGAAGGAATTTCGCAATCAACTCAAGAGCAAAGATTGAATATATTCGACGAAAATTCTATTTCTATAGACGAAAAGACGATAGTCCAATTATTGATGGATGAAGTATTGCACCCATTTTATGTGTTTCAGATATTCTCTATCTTTCTTTGGTTAGAGGATAATTACTATTATTATGCATCTTGTATCTTTTTTATATCTATCATTTCTATTGCCAACTCATTGCTTGAGACTAGAACGACGATCAAGAGATTACAAGAAATTTCGAAATTTTCTTGTGAAGTCAGAGTTTGGAGAAATGGATTTTGGAAACAAATTGAATCGAGCGAATTAGTTCCTGGTGATGTATTCGAAGTTGATCCTTCGCTTAACGTAATGCCTTGTGATGCGTTATTAATTAACGGGGAATGTGTTATTAATGAATCAATGTTGACTGGTGAAAGTGTTCCTGTTACTAAAGTAAGTGCAACTAGTGAAACGGTTCAATACTTGCCGGAAAATTTCACAGTTCCAATGTTAGCTAAGTCCTTCTTATATAATGGGACAAAATTATTGAAGATGAAGTCTGCAAATGATGAACCAGTTACGGCAATGACAGTTAAGACCGGGTTCAACACTACGAAAGGGTCATTGGTTCGTTCTATGTTGTTTCCTAAACCAACCGCATTTAAATTCTATGAAGACTCGTTTAAATATATTGGATTTATGCTCTTGATTGCGGCCATTGGTTTTACGTATTCAACATACAATTTCATCAAGTTAGGTATCCCACGGAGAATAATGATATTAAGAGCATTAGATATAATCACCATTGTTGTACCACCGGCCTTACCAGCCACTTTAACTATTGGTACCACATTTGCAATCAACAGATTAAAGAAATTTCAAATCTTTTGTATTGCTCCTACAAGGGTAAATATCGGAGGTAAATTAGATATCATGTGTTTTGATAAGACCGGAACATTAACTGAGGACGGTTTAGATGTATTAGGAGTACACTTGGCTAATAATGCTAGAGGTAGAAAGGAAATAGTGTTTGAAGATATGGTCGATGATATTAAATTTTTAAATACTGACACTGTGCGTGCTGGTGAACACGAAACAGACAATGGCAAGTTTTTATTAGGTGGAATGGCAACCTGTCATTCCTTGAGGTTAATAGACGATGAATTATTGGGTGATCCACTTGACGCTAAGATGTTTGAATTTACCGGATGGAATTTTGAAGAACAATCTGACGGGTCAAATCCGATAGTGTTCCCCAAGTATGAAAGTGATGGTTATAGAATAATGAAGGAATATGAATTTATCTCTTCCTTGAGAAGAATGTCAGTCATTGCCAATGATGGAAAGGACAATACATTTATATTTACGAAAGGTGCACCCGAAGTAATGTCTGATATTTGCAAGCAAGAAAGCTTACCAACAAACTATGAAGAATTATTATACAAATATACCCATAGTGGATTTAGAGTCATTGCATTAGCATATAAACTGTTAGACAAAGCAGAGAAGAATGCCAAAGATCTTTCTAGGGATGTAATTGAGTCAGACTTAACCTTTAGTGGATTTATCGTGTTTGAGAATAAATTAAAGGATTCCACTAAGCCAACATTAAATAGATTGAATGAAGCCAAGATCAGGACGGTGATGTGTACCGGAGATAATGTGTTAACTGCTATAAGTGTCGCTAGAGAATGCGAATTGATAGAGCCATGGGTTGAACATATCTATATTCCTACATATCAGGAAGGGAATAATGAGACCAATCTTGTATGGGAAGATTTTAACAATCCAGAGGATAAATTGGACCCTATATTATTGAAGCCATTAAATTCAAATATTGGAAATGAAACGAGCTACGGTAAGCACGATACGTATAAGTTGGCGATCACGGGTGATGTATTCAGATACTTATTGGTTGATGTCAAAAACCCAGCAATCATTCAGCGCATGTTGATGAAATGTGATATATTTGCTCGTATGTCTCCCGACGAGAAACACGAATTGGTAGAACAATTACAGAAGATTGATTACACCGTGGGTTTCTGCGGTGATGGTGCCAACGATTGTGGTGCATTGAAGGCAGCGGATGTGGGTATTTCGTTATCTGAAGCGGAAGCATCAGTAGCGGCTCCTTTTACGTCCAGAATATTTGAAATTTCGTGTGTATTGGATATTATCAAAGAAGGTAGAGCCAGTTTGGTCACTAGTTTCTCATGCTTCAAGTATATGTCATTGTATTCGGCCATCCAGTTTATTACTGTAAGCATCCTATACAAGAGAGGTACCAACTTGGGTGATTTCCAATTTCTCTACATTGATTTATTTTTGATCTTGCCATTGGCCATATTCATGTCGTGGTCCAAGCCGTTCGACAAGATAGTAGTCAAGAGACCTACTGCCAACCTTGTATCGTCCAAGGTTTTGGTTCCATTATGCTGCAACATTCTAGTGTTAATGAGTTTCCAGGTATTTTTATGGTTGCTTGTTCAGACCCAGCCATGGTACATGAAGCCAATTCCCGCAGGAGACGACGATGTCAAGTCTTCCGATAACACCACGCTATTCTTATTCGCAAACTTTCAATATATCCTAATTGCCGTTGTTTTGAGTATTGGACCTCCATACAGACAGTCCTTTCTATCCAATTATCCATTCTTGGTTAATTTAGGAGTTTGTATCCTAGTTTCTACATTAATATTCACCATCGACCAACGCTCATGGTGGGGTGACATTATGCAGCTCACAAACCTCTCGTTCTCATTCTACTGTTTGATATTGGTGTCAGCAGTATTAAACTTAGGTGTCATGTGGATGGGTGAACACTACTGGTTCAAGATCTTGGCCTCGCTCTACAAGAGAATGTTTCAAAGACATAAGTTTGAACGCAGTAGTAAAACATTCAAGAATTTACAAGCAGAAGATAACTTACAGACTGTATAGTGTGGACCATCGTCTAGAATATTTTTTTTTGCTGCATGTTGGTATTGTTGTCCCCCGCTCCGAAAAAGTGGTGGTGTTCATCATCTAGGTATTATATTGTATAGTAAAACTATTTTACTGCACCTAAAATTAGCATTTGTAAATCAAATTTGAGTCTGCCAATTATAGATACTGATATTTCACCAGTTTTCGATAAAAGCATGTAATCTCTGGTATGTTCTACAACGATATAGCCCACTAGATCACCAAACTTAAATGACATGAAAATAATAAATAACAACACATAACGTTAATTACACCGTAGGTCTTATTCCAAAATGTTGGTCCTTCAATAGCACTTTTTGTCAAACCCGCAATTGTCATATGTCGATTGCTACTCGGCAGGGTCACTCGGCTCGGACTCTAATTAGAATAGTCCACAACCTTCATTTTTCGCGTGGGGCCCATAACGTTCATGGCCAGTTCTGTCCCCAGATTTGGTGATATTTTTTTCTCCTATTGTACACCGCATACCAGAAATATCTTTCGGACCGACAATGCTTACCTTTTTCACACTTTTTCATCCACGCCATTGATCATCCAACATTTATCGCTATACTGATTCCACGCTATTGGTCAGTTCATCATGCCAGCTTTACTCCCCCCTTCTAAATAGACTGTTTCACCTTCGAGGATGTAGTTTGCATTGCACCCATGGAGCAAGCCAAAATGCCAAAACTCCAAAATGCTATAATGCTAGTGTTATGATGCACTAATGCGATAATGCCGTTATTAGGTTCATAGTAGAAACGATAAAATCTCAACAAGTCCGGTACTAGCTCCTAATGCGGCGAATAAGCGAGCGGGTGGGACGAGTACCCAGAAAAAAATCTGCAATCTCGTATACATGTGTGCAAGAAATTCGCTACAATGCGTAATAAAATTCTGGGAACATAATCGATTTGTGGGGTCATCACACAGAAGAAAAAATATATATTATATATATGTCCAGAAAAATCACCAAATAGAAATAGAATAGTGATAAAATATCATTATCTTCACCTGTTTTATACTTTTAAATTATATTTATTATATTAATTTGCTTTGAAATTGCTAGTACATTAGACAATTCAAGAATAAATAACCACTAGTCCACGAATAATTTTTCAATATGCCCGCTTCATCAGAATCTGCTCACAGCTACAAGAACGAGCCAGCCGAATCGAGTCCTAGTATCGAGGAACCAGTTGCTCATGTCCAGGAATCAGGAGATGGAAAGGAATTCCTCATTATCGGAGGCAAGAAGTACTACAAGCACGAATTAATGACTGCGTTTGGTGGTACTCTTAATCCTGGTTTAGCCCCTCCTCCAGTAAATCTGTTTGCCAATCCAGCTCCATTAGGATTATCTGCGTTCGCGTTGACCACGTTTGTGCTTTCTATGTACAATGCACAAGGAATGGGAATCACAACTCCTAACGTGGTTGTTGGGTTAGCGTGCTTCTACGGGGGCGCCGTGCAATTTTTTGCCGGATGCTGGGAGATGCTTGTGGGTAACACTTTTGGTGCCACTGCATTGACCTCTTACGGGGCTTTCTGGTTGTCTTACGCAGCCATTAACATCAAGTCGTTTGGGATTGCTGCTGCGTACGAAGAAGAAGAAGCAGCCATGTTCACGAACGCAGTGGGGTTCTTTCTTATAGGATGGGCTTTATTTACGTTTATGTTGACATTGGCCACCATGAAGTCGACAGTCGCATTTTGCGCCTTATTTGCCTTTTTAACCATCACTTTCATCTTATTAGGTGCAGGTGATTTGACGCAAACAGTCGGTGCGACTAGAGCCGGTGGTGTCACTGGGGTTATTACTGCGTTCCTTGGGTTCTACAACGCGTTTGCTGGTACTGCTAACAAGCAGAACTCTTACTTCACTGCGTACCCAATCCCATTGACCAGAAAGTAAGCACGGCTTGTACTCGCAGTGCCGCGTATGCACAACAAGTATGGCGAGATACGAGCGGTGCACGAGGCAATCTAACATTAGAGGCGGGTTCTTCATTGACACTGGTGTCGACTAATTATTTATACTTCTATTTATTATGTCTGACGATAATATATTATGACTTATTTATTAGATGTAGCAAGTATTGAGACGGATTTGATTTATTCTGGTATTTTCGCCAAATCTTCGTTACGTTTCTTCGGTGCACTTTTCGATGCGAGTTAGTCATCCTGTATCACAGGTACATGTACCTTTGTGTATCAACACTGTGGATTGATATAGCGCATCACTATAGTGTATCATTTACCATAATTTGGTTACACGAATCTATGTATTTTCTATTTCCAGTGAAATTACACTCCATCTGTAAAATGCCATAGTGCCAGAAAAGTGCCAAACTTCTGCCTGACGGGTTTATTACTGTACGCCTGCCCAATAAGCTGTAACGTTGCAGTGGAGGATCCAAGTGGAGGATAAAAACACTGCACAAAATAGAATCGAATTTCGCTAGTATATACAGGATATCAGTCTATCTAAATTGGCCCCACGTGCTCTACTTTCTACTCATTAAATCGTTATCCATATATATACTAGTAAGTACTTTTCAGCGGATTCTTTACTTGTTCATCAATTCTTCATCCATGTCAACCCAGAATAAGAGAATTGCCTTACCAGCTCGAGTAGAACCAAAGGTGTTCTTCGCCAATGAAAGAACTTTCTTATCGTGGTTGAATTTCACCGTTATTTTGGGATCCCTAGGAGTTGGTTTGCTTAACTTTGGTGACTCAGTCGGTAGGATCTCAGCCGGTTTATTTACCTTTATTGCTATGCTTACTATGGTGTACGCATTGGTCACATATCACTGGAGAGCCAAGGCCATTAGAATGAGAGGATCAGGCCCATACGACGACAGATTTGGACCTACGATGTTGTGTATTTTCTTGTTGGTTGCGGTTGTGATCAACTTCATTTTGAGAATCAGAGCATGAGGAAGACAACACTACGAAACGTCCAGAAGAAGCATAGGCTGAGACAGAAGGTATATTTATTTTTAGTATAGTGGATTTATATTTATTTCCGTTTAATGTATATTTAGCATTGTCATCTCAACGAAATAATAAGAATAACAGAATATCGGACTATATGTAGGCGAAAATTATATAATAAGGTGTGGCGGGATAAGCGATGCGATGGAGGTCGCTAGCAGGGGCCAATTGTACGTACATAAGGACGAAGTAGCCAAGGGTCAGCTGTCAAGCATTACTCGCGGTAGTACTTTCGCTTTATGTCCCGATATTTGGTTAGGAAGTACAATGACTCCAATTCTGAAATAGTTAGTAGTGTAGGAGATGATAGGGTAACCTTATTTGCTACATACCTTTGATTATATATTCTCCTTTGGCTAATGCTGCTGCTAAGTCCTGCTCGGTGTGCACTGGAGTGTTAACAAACTGGGCCTTTAATTGACGCCGGAATTTTTGGTATCCACCCAGACGAACAGGGTAGTCCTTGCCCATGTAGATAAGTATCTTATATAGGTAACGGACCTGGGAATTCATTTTATAACTATTAATGGGAACGGAGTATCAAGATACGGTTGATGCGCTTTCTCGCATTATCGCATTTTAAGAAGTCAACAAATATTTTAGCTCTGTTATCATACTGTTCTTTATGACGATAAGATGGCAGCATCTGAACCCCTTTCTAAATTCAATAGTATTACGTCGGATAACTTCGAATACAAGTCTTCGAGGGTGATTGCTCTTTTCCTTATAAATTTCGATGTGAGACGTGGTTATCAACTAGTATGGTCCAAACAAGCCAAAGGTCGACCACCCATCAACTTAGGCGGTTTAGACTACAAGGTGTTACCATCCGGGATACAGGAGCATGCAGCTAGTACAGTTTTTGTCAGCCATGCTTGCGACAATACAGTCTACTACGGGTTAGGAAGATTTCGTCAAAAGATAGCTGATTCTGATCATGAATCTAGCCATATCAACAGAGATAATGTTAAAATGTATTCATTAGGGGTTCTCTGTGAATCCACACCTAACCCCATGTGGAAGTCCAACGAATTCATAAATAATGGGTGGGAATATATAAATAAATTGGATGAAGGCCTTGAAAAGTTCCTCAATGGAAATGACTATGACAATTTTACTATATTTGACGAAGTATTTGATATTGTAACAAATACCCATTTGAAGGTGGGAAAGCCAAATGTCAATATTAACAATCATCTTTTAAGCAAATTACCCTTAATGTTCCAGTCATTAGGTCCATTGGTGTTTTCCTTATTCAAGCAATGTTTATTGCGAAAGAAAGTATTAATATTTCATCAAAATCATAGCAAAATTGATAATTTCAGTCTGGGTGCCTTCACATACTTATTATCGCTATTATCGACGATCCCCAATGACATAAAGATCTATAGTGCCGCATTAACATATTCACAACCCTTATATAATGTTGGGTTAAATGACTTGGAGAGTTCGTTGCTTAAATTCCCAGCCACTATAGCAACTACAAATGACGATATATTGATGTACCAGAAGGATCTTTATGACTACGCAGTTTTCTTACCTAACGAAGAGTATGGTAATTCGTATATTTTAAAATCAGACACACTAGTGAACAGTATGAAAAGTCCCTTGGACTTCCTCAACCAAAGAGTCAAAGCTACTCTCAAGGATTATTATAAGTTCAAGTTGATATATAAACAGTTGTTGACGAGAACCCGTAGCCACACAACGAATGCGTCAACGGATGATTTGGCATCAATAAAAACATCAAATTCAAATGTGTCATCCAGAGGCTGGGGTTTTAATTCCCAGAAGGATGAAGCATATTTGGAAGCTGAACCTACGTGGTGGTTGGATTCTGCAACATGTCCTATTTCCTGGAGAGAGTATGTCTGGTCTGCATTTTCTTGGTTTGCATCCGCCGGTACAGTCAGTGAAGATTCAAATACGTTAGAAAATAACGACGACCATCCATCCAGGCCAATCAACAACGATGAATCTTCACTCAATGATGAGGATTCCAGACGCAAATTAATCCAGCTAGTGGAGATCATTGGCCGTTTCCATATGCTCACTAAGAAATGGTTCTACTTGATGAACGAGATTATCCGTGAAGAATTGGACGAGCAGACTCAAACAGGTACATCTACATTTACACAGTCAGATTCTAATGGACCATTATTGATGAATATGGATGAAGACTCCAAGATAAGTATCGAGTTGACCTACCAAGACATTATTGATATGGAACTAGATCCGTACTCGGAGCAAGATTTACAATTCGTCAAAGACTTTATATTACTATACTGGGGTTCTGTAGTTAAAAACGTCGAAATTGGCATTGGATTAAGTGGCATATGCTGCTAATTTCACCTTACATAGCCTATTATATATGGTTATTAAATATTCATACGACTATAGAGTGTATTGTTACCCGGAGCTTTTCATGAGATTGTCGTGGCGTGTAAAAAATTTACCTTGATTATCAACAAATTGATCAATCATTCAGTGTTTAGATATACAGAAATCAACTTATTCGATTAAGTAAAATCTACATATAACCATTCCTTAGCAATTGGCTTTCAATTAAGCTAATTTGTCCCTTTCCCTTTCCAATACACTTGTCTATTGTAAATTCCGTTGAATCCTATAATTATATAGCATTCTGAGCAAGTTCGGACGTGTCCTCCCTCAACATTCATCAAGTTTCTTTCACATATAGGCATTGGATTATTCTATGAAAGTGGAAGATAGCATTCGTGATAATAAATAGAGGATAATAAAAGGAATTTTTTTTAAAAAAAAGAGTACATCAATAAAGTACACCAAAAAAGTATAGATTGTTTAATTTGACAATGAAGGGTCAGAATCAAAATAGCCGTGGTAGCAGCAATCCAAGACCGGGTGTCAATGGGCATCGTCGTTCAAATTCTCGTTATAATACTGGCAATTATGGAAATAATTACTCTCAAGGACAACTGAATAATAGTGACGAATCTATAAATAGCGACAAATTGTTACACTTGGTAGCTAAATCTATTGGTAAGAAGTGTATTGCGACAGTTAGCTCGGGTGCCCGCTATCAAGGATTATTAGTAAGTGCTGATTTATCGTCACAACAAGGTCAGGACGCTTCATCCCCGTTATCGATTGTCTTGCAGTCTCCGCAAATTTTTTCAAAGTCTCTTATAGATGAGAAAAGCAATGCGGACAAGGCGAATGAAATCCCAGAGAAGTTAGTTATTCAAGCAAAGGATTTAATGGATTTAGAAGTGTCAAATGTTGACTTGAATGAACCAGCTAAAAAGGACCTGAATCCACGTTCCGTTTCTCCAACATCCGGCTCAAATACAGCATCACCTTCTGCTACATACGAAAGTAAATTTAAGACTGATACAGATATAAGTGGCCGCTTACAGGTTAAAGAGAGGGAACTTCAAAGATGGGTTCCAGAAGAAGATTCAGCTTCATTTGCGTTAGAAGATGACACGTTTAATAATTCAAATGAGACTTGGGATCAATTTAAGGTAAATGAAGAGAAATTCGGAGTTGAATCCAGTTATGACGAGCATTTATATACGACAAGGATCAATACTGCAGCTCCTGATTATCATACGAGATTAAGAAAAGCGGAAAAGATCGCGAAGGACATTGAAAATCAAACCACCGGTAATCGTCACGTATTAGAAGAAAGAGGAATCGAGGTAGATGATAGCGGAATCGATGAAGAAGATAAGTATTCTGGTGTTGATAGAAGAGGCGATGAATTAATGGCTGCGTTAAGAAATGCTAATATCTCCACTGAATCAACTGCTAGTAATATTCTGAATGCACCTGGTAAGTATGTTCCACCAAGACAAAGAGCAGCACAATATCATGATGATCCAGCAATTATTTCTAGTTCTGCAGCACAACCTGGTAAAAACCCCGTTGATTCTCAGAAAAATGATACTGAAACTCTGACTAATCCTATAGTAAATAGTATGGCCAATAAGCCAGATTCTATACCTCCAAAGCCACAGGTTTCGAATCAACATAATGAGTCATTCAGACTTAATGCTCAAAGTGAAATTAATTCTCTTCGGGAGTTTAGTGCCAACTTCAAGATTCCCCATCAAATGCCTACAGATTTATTGCCAATATTATCTAAAGATAAGTTGAAGCAAGATGAAATATTAAAGAAACAAAAAGAGCAGCAGTTATTAAAAGCTCAGAGAAGAGAACAGAAACAAGCCGAATTGGCAAAATCAACGAGCTCCCTGACTGATGCAGTAGCTCAAGAGCCGAGTCAACCCCAACAGAGAAAGAAAATGGATCCAACGAGACCTGCGTTCAAGTTGAATCCAAAGGCGGCTGCTTTCACTCCTTCAAGCAAACAATTATCGCCAAACCCACCAAAGGCCAATTTCAATAGACCACCCAATAACCCATCTCCAAGAATGGGTAATCAAAGGCCTTTCACTAGTGGTAGTGGTTCCAGTGTTGGATCTAACACCAATTCAAAACGTCATTATCAAATTTCCCCAGCAGATTTCTTTGGAGGAGCCGACAGAATTCCAACTAAAGAGGGTCAAGAACAAAAGGCAAAAAATTTCAAGTTCGCTTTTAATTTATTTATCACAACTAAGAAGAAGGCGGCAGCGGATCATGCTCCTGTGAATTTTGAAAAGACTTTCTATACTCCTCCAACATGGAACTCTACGATTGATGATACGTATGATAAATTATTCCCATCACCAAACACCATTAGGGGGCCGGGAATGGGATTACCTACATCTACTAGCATGCCATTTATGCCAAGTCCTATGATAGGAGCCCCATCGCCTGTAATGCCGAGTGGGTTTCCTGGCATGCCAGGGACTCCAACTGGCAATAAATTCCCTCTCTCACCTCAACAGCAACAACAACAGCAACAAGCGGCAGCCGCAATGGCAGCACATTTCCAACAACAACAATTCCATGCAGCTATGATGTATCAACAGCAACAACAGCAACAACAGTTTTCAGGAGTCCCACCTGGCCAGCCGCCAATGCCAATGTATGGACCGGGTGGTGAGCCACCTTTCCTTCCTCCTGGCGGATTCATGATGCCGCCAGGAAATTTTAATGCGGGGGGTAGTCCTGTTAATGGCAATGTCATGATGGGCGGTAGCCCATACAACAATGTAAGTGGAAATCAAATGAATACCAACTACAATAATCACCATCAAGGTGGTAGCACTGGTGGTAGAAGATATAATAATCATCATCACAATCAGAATCCCCAACACAGCCATAAAAGAGGAAGTAATGCTTGATTCGAAGATAAGGATGAGGTAATTTGAACTTGCTTGATTTGGTTTGCTGGTTCAGATCACGTTGAATTGTTTATTATATCCATGCCTTCACTTTGCATTACCAAAAATTAAACGGAACAAATTCTGTACAACCCTGACGTTTTATCTTTTAGATAACCCTAAATAGGCGTATCTAGTTTCACCTTACATATATCTACTTATAAAATTATTTCTGTAAATCGCTAATCGTATTCTGACTACTTTATAGATACACGAATTGTAAAATAATTGGAGTTACAAACCAAACTCCTTATTAGAACTCTACTTTAAACCAGTTGTTCTATTCAGACTCCTATGAAGACTACACTAGTGATGTTTATACCCATAAAACTATATACAGGACGATTCTGTATTTTGATTTTAGTTCAATAAATCGAGTATTATGAAGTGTTGAACTCTTTAGCGAAGAATTCTAAGAGCTATATATACACAATGAGTGATGCTGCATTATCCAGAGTAGCACATTTGATCAAATTGGAAGATGATTTGGTAAAAATTCAATCGTTGCGACAACAATTCACTAAGGAAAAGACGTTAGTTGACATTAAATTGAATGCTGCTACTCAAACACAAATTGATTCTATTATGAATAATTTGAAGAAGTTAAATAATTCAGCCAATAAATTGAATACAATAAAATCTAGCTTGAACAGATTAAATCAAATACATGATGAGTCAGTAACAGGAGTGGCAGAGTATACTGCCATTAAGCAAATGACCAATGTAAACCAATTCCTAACGCAAGTACAACACTTATACCACGATATATCTAAATATAAACAATATTTGGATTCCATAAACAAATTAATAGATGAAGAATTTGCTATAATTAGCGAGGACATATCTTATCCGTTATTGAATATTTTCAGAATTCATTATGGCTTAACGCAAGCAAGAAACTTTCAGGATTATTTGGAGACTATTTCTGATTCTTTATCAGATGACTTGAAATCAATTGTATTCAAGGTAGTCTTACCGGTGAAAAAGACAATTAAGAAATTTGATGACTTACTAGGGGAGATTATAATAAGTTTGACAGAAGCATTGAAGGAGGGAAACGTAGAATTAGTATTCAAATTAATCAAAATTATTGAGTTTGAATCTAATGAAGACTTGAAATTTGCACTCATGTCTAATTTGAAATTAATGGAAAATAGAAGTATATCCAGTATTGATTATGCAAACTTTAGAGGTGCAAAACGTAACTATAAGAAGTTTTTTTACAAGAAACTAGAGGAAAGTCTTGTGGACACGTTTGATAAATGTGTGGAACATTTCAGTTACGATAGGATTTTAGTTTATGATAATTTAAACTGGCTTGAAGATGAGCTTGTTTTTGTCTCTGATACTTTATCTCCTATGTTTCCGACTAGTTGGAATATAGATAGCTTCATACAAAATGCCTATTACAACAGATTGCATAATTTCACAATGGATTTAATTAAGACTGATCCACCGGCTGAAGATTTATTAAAGATTTTGGCATATGATTCCCATTATGGTAAATTTGTTGTTGCATTACATACTTCTCCTGATATTGAAGGTGATGGAAAACGAAAATCTACCCAGAAGAAAGAACAAAAATCGATTATGGGCGAAGAACTAAAGAAGGTTGTCTTAGATGATTATTTAAAGGTTATTGTTGCTAAAATGAATGAATGGACTGACACTTTAATGAAGCTGGAATTAACTTCCTTTGTTCAAAGAGAAACACCACCCGATATTTACACATATTATCAAACCATTGAAGATGAAGACATTCAAGATCAACCAATAACGTTAGAAATCCATGGTGAAGTATTTGTATTACCAGACTTCAAGACTCCTTTGACTATGCTTAAGGAACAAGCTGATGTGGCTGTTGACTCAGGGTACGGAAGTATCCTAGTGGGTGTGATTGAAAACTGGTCAAGCTGCTATATTAAGAGAGTTCTTAATTATAAAGAAATTATAGAAGAAGAATTTGATAAGTATATGTCAGTTTATAATAACGAAAGGTTCTTAATCAAGGAAAGTAAGACAAAGAGACTATTCAGACGTCATGCACCTCAGCCAACCTTCGATATTGAAAATATGACTCCAGAAGAATTAGCCAATGTATCCAAGCCCGGTTTAATCGAGTACTTGTGTGCATTGGGTAATACATATGAAATTAATACGGACCGTTTGCAAGATAAATTCTTACCAAATTACAAAAGTAAAGTTCATTCCAATTATCAAAGCAGAATTCAAGTTGCTTTTGAAGATACTGTTTCTCCAAGTACTGAATTAAATGCTCAGGTAATTAGAGCTATCATTGATATAATACTTAACGATTTGTATCCAGCTTTGTCATCTGTATTTACTAAGACTTGGTATGGAGACAAAAGTCAAACTTCCGATGAACCTAATATGGCTGAAAGGATTTTAGAAACAATAAGTGAATATATGCAAGAGCTTAGAAGTTATGCATCATACGATATTTACTCGTGTACCTTTGCACTTTTCCTAGATTCATTTATATCTGCTTATATCCGTATTGGTTACGAAAATATCTTGCATGGAAGTGGTAAAAAAATTGATCCAACGGCAACAAAAAAATTCAAGTCTTTTAGTGAAGGTGTTGGAAGAGATGTTACTATATTTTATGGGGGATTAGAGCATTTGTTTACAAGAAAAGATTCTGCCTATTTATTGAATAGTTTAAGGGCAATAGAATTTTTGGGTGATTTAGCTACATGTGAAGATCCAATGAACTTTATTCCACAAATGTGGGAGAATGAGATTCTAGGATCATTTTATTTCTGTTCGGTTGAATACGTCAGAGGAATTTGCTTATGTCGTAAAGATATGGATAAAAACCAAGTAAACACGTTGGTGAGACAATTAGAAGATATCGCAAAAGAGTATCACGAAAATGTTCCTGTGCCTAACCAATTAACAGGTACTTTGAATGAATTTTTCTACAACTAGACTTTGTATATTATTAATGAAAATTTGAATGTTATATTAGTAGTCATGTAGAACTGATGTGGGTTTAATTATGCAAATTTATAGTATATATAGATTATTCCTCATCTGAAGAAGAATAATCACCAAGTGCACCTGATAGTGACTCACTATTGATAGACCTAGATTCCATACTAGGCACATCTGATTTGGGATTTGCCAATGGCTGCTTCTTCTTTAAAACTATATTTTTCGATTGCTTTTTGATAGTATTCGGATTTGTTTGGTTATCTTGTAATGCGTTTTCATATGATCTCTTTAGAGATGATGGATCCTCTATGCCCACAGATTTATTCAGACTATTCAGATCGATCAGGCTGTTCAGTCTAAACTTTTTAAACTTATCTTTGGCTAATTCTTCGTCTTCTTTATTCGCCGAGTTTTCACGTAATGATTTCATCAGTTCAATTTCCTTCTCTAACTTATCTTTAGCTTCATTTAAGGCTTGATCTCTACCACCTTTCGCTTGTAACAGAGAGCTCTTAGCTTGAAGATATTCTAAATGTTCAGTGATTTCTTGTTGCCTTTGCTGGTCCTGTAATCTTTTTTCAAGGTTTTCCATTAGATCTCCTTTCTGATCTTTCAAACTTTCATTTTGTTGCCAAAATGGATTTTTCTTCCGCTTTTCTTTCAACAACTGAAAAGATTTATTCTCCTTTTCTTCCTTTTCTAACCGTTCTAATATCTCTTCCTCTGTCTCTACTTTTGTTTTGTTGGCATTAGTATTAGATTCTGGTTCGTAGTTCCTTACAGCCCCAGTGCCTGGAACATAACCAGCAGTCTGAGGGCTAGTTTTATAAGTTATATTATTATTACATTTGGGGCATGTTATATGGAATCGTATGATCTTGAAATTCATATACTTCTCATTAGTGACTTCTTTTTTAGCATTAAATTTACGCCTTTCTGATATATATTCGTTACACTTGGTGCATCTCATCGAATATGGAGCCATAAGACGAACCTTAGTAACCTGATTCGCGGGCTTCTTTTTCTTCGGGACCTTAGAAGGATCCCAATCTGGAGGATAGTATTTATTTATACCCTTTCTCTCTGACATTTCGACTGTGGTAGTAGTAACGAACCCCTATCAAACATACTTATCAGGCTGATTCCAAATATAGGGAAGAGATGACACAAAAGCGCCACTAACAATCATAATGGCTCGTCATATTCTATGCCATTAGTTAACTACAAGGTAATATATTAAAACATACATTGGGTTGATTATAATACACATAAACGTTTTTTTATTAAAAAAGATGCATCCCAACAACTTAAACTAAACCAAAATAAACATTATACTATTCTATTTAACAAAATTTTTCTGAAAAACTCTTCAATAAAATTAATAATATAACATTTAATCTAATCAGCGTTTCTTCTGGCAGCTCTCTTAGCAGCACGACGTTGAGTACCGAAGATCTTCTTTTCTCTGTTCTTCTTTTGCTTTCTTTGTTGTCTGGAAGCCTTGTCAACCTTTTCAGCTAAACCGTATCTAACTAATCTGTAAGATGGTTCGAACTTCTTGGCGTCAGCAACAGATTGGTAGATTAAACCGAAACCAGTAGACTTACCACCACCGAATTGGGTTCTGAAACCAAAAACTGAGACAGCGTCCTTTTCAGTCTTGTAAATTTCAGATAATTTTTCACGTAATTCATCCTTAGAAACGTTTGGTCTGTTTGGGTGTAAGACATCAATGACGAATTGTCTTCTGGCTAATAATGGGTTGGAAATAACCTTACGAGTTCTAATAGTAACGGAGTCACTCTAAAATCTATGTTAGTATATTGTTTCGACAATCTCAACGTCAGCATGAAATAATTGTGAATATTCGACCCCAATACGGTATTTTACTCCCTTTTTCGTTCCTTTTCTTCTAGTTCCATTATATGGCACCATGTATTCTTCGAGAAGATCTGTATGCTCTTTGATTCCATTTTATTCAAAATTTCAATATTTATGTCCCACTTCCAATTAATCCATCATAATGTTATATTTGACACCAACTCAATATCTAATACCATATATATGGTCTCATATCACAATTATACTTTGTATATCACTTCTAAACATACCATTTTGATGATATTTCTATTATGGTTTAACTAAATATTCAAGACTAGTATTAATATGTTTGAAAAACTTTTATGTAAATTGGTACTCCAGTACAGTGAGAAACTGAAAATTTTCTGGTGTAATTTGATTATATAACATTTGTAAGAAAGCTTATATCATCGGTTACACAAATTGTCTCGTGAGGAAATTGAGAAAAAACAGTCACAAGTCAGGTGATCGATATGCATTTGTTCCTCGGCTATTTGATAGCTGTTCTTGATGCGCTAGGCACCATAAGTACCTTACACACTTTTAAGGCTTTAGATGCTCTTTGAGACGTTAAATACCCTTAACATATTAGGTTCTTTGAGCGGTTGAATCATATTCACATTAGTTAAATTCATATGTATTATCTACGTGAAACCTACTTCATTCAGTACCATTAGTTCCACCAAACGGCTGAAAGTGGGTTATCGCATTTTGCAATCATTCCTCGATATAAACTACTGAGATATCTAGACATATGGCATTTATTATATATAAAAGTAGACTAATGCTTTTCAGTAAGGCCAATTCTAACAGCCTTAACTTGGGTGTAATTGTCAAGAGCTTCGGCACCCATTTCTCTACCGAAACCAGATTGGCCGTAACCACCAAATGGAATCATTGGGTGGAAATCGTTGTATGTGTTGACCCAGATGGTACCGGCTTGAAGTCTGTTAGCAACACCAATGGCGGTGTTGATGTTTTCGGTGTGGATACCAGCAGCTAAACCATATTCAGAGTCGTTGGCTAAGTCGACAACTTCATCAATGGTCTTGAATTTGGTGATGGTGACAACTGGACCGAAGATTTCTTCCTTGACAATTTGCATACTTTCAGTGACATCACCGAAAATGGTTGGCTTAATAAAGTAACCCTTACCTTGGACTCTTTCACCACCAGAAATCAACTTAGCACCTTCATTCTTACCAGTTTCAATGTACTTCAAGATCTTGTCCAATTGTTGGGAAGAGGCTTGAGCACCCATAAAAGTGTCTTCTTCGAATGGGTTACCAATCTTGATCTTAGAAGAAGCGTTCTTTAATTCTTCGAGGACATTGTCGTAGATTTCTTCTTGGACATAAATTCTGGAACCAGCACAACAAACTTCACCAGTGTTGTAGAAAATACCGGTGATCAAAGATTGGACTGATTTTTGGACATCAGCATCATTGAAAACAATGTTTGGAGACTTACCACCTAATTCTAAGGTGACCTTCTTCAAGTTGGATTCAGCAGCGGACTTCATAATGTGTCTTCCAGTTGCAGTAGAACCAGTAAATGCAACCTTCTTGATCTTAGGGTGAGAGGCAATGGCGTTACCAGCATTCTTACCAAAACCAGTGAGGATGTTAACCACACCAGGTGGGAAACCTGCTTCCTTGATCAAACCAGTGATGAACAAACCCGATAATGGGGTCGATTCAGCAGTCTTCAAAACAATAGTATTACCGGTGGCCGCAGCTGGACCAACCTTCCATGCCAACATCAATAATGGGAAATTCCATGGGATAATTTGTCCACAAACACCAATTGGTTCTCTTCTGGTGTAGTTGAAATGGGTGGAACCGGTTTCTGGCACAGTACCCAAGATCTTATCAGCCCATCCCGCACACGATCTGAAGTACATGGCGGTTAAGGCAACATCTCCTCTAGAACACATCAAGGATTTACCGTTGTCCAAGGCTTCGATATGAGCAAGGGTATCAGCGTTGGCATCAACCAAATCGGCCAATTTGAGCAAAGCATTGGCTCTGACCGATGGGTCCCCGGTAGACCACGACGACTTGAAGGCAGCACTGGCGGCTTCAACAGCAGTGTCGACATCCTCTTCTAATGCCTCGTACACATCGGTGATATGTTCTTCCGTGGATGGAGAAATCACATCGAATGTCTTCTTTTGCTTTGGATAGACATATTCGTTATTGATGAACATACCAGTTGGCTGTTCATATGTAGTACCGTTAGGCAACTTAATTGAAACTTTTAAAGGTAAATTGGATGACATTCTTATAAATGATTTTGCAAATGCTACGTTACTTCTTGCTTGTTTTGCAATTGAATTCTTGAACATGTTGAAAGAAATTGATTTTTAGAGCAGATTTATTCTGATTTATATAATGTTGGAATTCCCCATATTTATAGTATTACAATAGTGGGGTTTAGCCCGAGTATGTTTTAAACCATCGCCATGGATAACCCCTCTCTGTTTAGCATCTATTTCGTCACTGTCAAGAAGTCGATGCGCGGATTTAAGCACGCCGGCGATTACCATCATCAATATCCGAAAGATCAGATTCGGGTTAAAGTTCGCACGTATAAACGAAGATACACTTCGTATGCAATTGTCATCATCGGGGGAATTATATCCCAGACAGACTTTCGGTTAGTATAAGTGAAATATATTAAGCTGTCGCCGGTATAGGGTACGGAAAGTGAGGATGGATTAAAGATTAGGTTCACTGGCCATAAAATCTGCCTGTACTTAATCGCAGGGGTCAGGGTCAGAAAAGACGTGTACGGCTACAGAAGCTTATGACCGGTTAACAACGGTTGCAATCCCCAGAAAGTTAATTGATTCTACACTAATTAGCGCTCTGCGACTGGAACACTCGTAATGCAAGTTAGTAATATGACTTAGTAATAACGGTAATGTGACTAAGTAATATGGCATATGACATGAAACGCAGAGCATGGGATTGTCTAGACACGCGCTTGGCGTTTTTCTAACGCCGGTGGCATTTGTATCGACGTACGGAGTATGTTACACGGCGATTAGTTCTAAAGCCCTTTTCCTGTCTCTACGCCGTTAAGAGAAGAGTTGTAGATTCGGGCTTTGGATGTCGCGGACGCCTCGATGTCATAAAGCACGGTAATTTGGACATTGATTATGTAATTCTTCGACACGTACCGAATTTTTGACCTAATCCGCTAGTACAGATGAGCTGGAACCAGCGATGGGTTCCGATTTGAGTACGAGCATATGAGCTAAGATGTCGCAGTGGATTCGAGGTCCCATATGTGGCGTGGATAACTGCCGTAGCAGGCTCTATCGGTCGACAGATGGGATGAAAATATGCCAGTATGGCCATGTAATGGAAGGTAATGTCGAGATCAACGATGATCAGGACGAGAACTTCGTTTCGACACGGAGATTGAATCTCCAGTTACATAACGGAGGGTTTTCAATAGCTCTGCAGAATGTGGCAACGAGACAGGAAACGTCGAAGAAGGTTTACGGGACGAATGGGAAAATGTTGTATTGGCGATGCTTGCAAGTTCTCTTGAAGAAACAGGTTGAGTTTTTCCTGGCGATGTTCCCATACGATGCCGAAGAATTGGTGCTGGTGGTCAAGCTTTACTGGCTAAAGTATATGACCGTCAGAATCAGTAATGATCCACATGCAAAAGTGCCCACAGCACTTGATTTGATTTCGATCATATATTTGGCTATCTTCAAATTGCGAGGATACCCCATATATGTGTGCGACGTTATTCATGCCCTCAAAGAAAATAAGATCCCATACATGAAATGTCTTCATTTAATACCGAATTCGTATTTGGAACAGCTTCCGTCGTATTTTTTGAAATGTTTGGAACCGTACAAATTGCCGTTGACTAACGAGCTCTACGAAGCGATACTTGAGAATGGTCTGAAAATATGCGGAGACGAAAAGATCTTGGATGTTCCGTTCAACTACTTTTATCCGTTGATATTCAAGATTCTTTCAGAATTGCTTGTGTTTCCCAACGCTCCCAGCCTCTTTCATATCTGTAATAACCTCGTGGATAAATTGGGCCATCACTTTCAAATCTCATTCGACCACAAGACGGACAAGTTTCCAGAGCTTCAGGTTATTTCGTATGTCATAATAACCGTCAAGATATATTTTATCTACTATAATGGAATGGGTTACGCTAAATGGCTTGAAACTTTGACAAAGTATGAACTTAACACAGAATTCCATTTTGCGAATAACGACGTTAATGATGACGAGCTACTTAATTGGTCTGATTTCAAGATAGATAAGTACTGTCAATGGCTTTACGATAATGTTGTATCTGAAAAAAGCGAAGATGATTTGTCTGTCATGGACAAGAGATTGTATCAAATCTTCAACCTTGATGATTCCTTGAATTCTTCTGGTACGAGAAGAAAGCTTGATAATGAGCAGGACAATGATCCTACATTTATTCCACTAAGCCAATATCTAGAAGATGTTGCGTCGAATAATGTTGGTTCAAAGATCAAGACTAATGATGTCCGAATAATTGAGAATAAGTTGTTCGAAAAATTCACCAAAACTTTCGGTATATCCAAAAAATTATTAACAAGCTGCTATGATTCAGCTGAACTTGAGATTAAGCAGAAATTAATCAAGTAAAATTGTATATTACCTTGTATTTATAGTCTAGCATTATATTAATCTACGATTTGCAACTGTAGAGCGCGCTCACTGATCAAAATGTTTTTGACCTTACTATTCTAGTGTTACGAACTATATTAACTATGGATAGATCTACGCTGGACGGACCACATGAAGATAGTGTAAATAATTCTCCTTCGGAAATGTTGTCAACGACTGGAAATCTGGAAAGGGAGAATTCTACTGATCATAATTTTTCAAGTAATGAAAATATAAGTCAAAATGATGAAGTGGATAAAGTAAACACGGATAATGATGCACGCATCGATATGGAAACACTAAATACAAAGGAAGAAATTACGAGGGATTCAAGTGACTCTGAATCCGATAACAACGATGAGGAGACCTCTAGTAAATGGACAGAAAATTTGGTAGTTTCTAATGAAGACGCATCAACAAATATAAATAATGGAACTGCCGCTGGATCTGCTGAGGATGAAGAGTCCGCCTCTATTGAATCGGATAATAATATAGCGGAAACAGATGTCAATAAGCAGATAGATACTCAGGTAGATACAGAAGTGGATACAATTAAGCATAGTAATAATAATGATGAATTACCTCAATCTTTGTCCAATGTAGATGAAGACGGAATAGAGAAAGAGGCCAGCATTGATTCAGTTGAAGATTTAAAGAAAACTTTGGACTCTAGAAACTCGATGGGGGAAAATTCTGTGAATAAAGAATCTGATCAATCTGACATCTCAGACAACTTAAAGGAAGATGGTTTACTTCTGTATAAATCAAACAAAGATTCGCCAGAGGAAAATACAGTCCCTGAAATAAATGATTCTACAAATAAGCCGACCAAACGGAAACGAGATGAGATTTTAACGAACTACGAACCAATTGATCCTACTTCCTTCCAAACAGAAAAAAATAAAAAGAGAATAACAGGCAAATTTATTGATAAATTCTGGGAGCCATTGGATGCCCAGACCACTAGCTCTTTGGAGAAAATATTAAATATGTGTGTCAATAGAACCATCGAAAAGTATAAGGGTGGCTCAAAAGTATCCAAAAAGATGATAGAAGCACAACATTTACTATCGAAAAATTGGCTTAATGAGGCGAATAGAAAATCCTTTAGATCGAGACTTAATGTCACAAACGTACCGTTACCGACAACCATGCAAAGTAGCTCTAAGTCGATTGATAACAGTCTTGATATTTTAAATTATGACCAATTAACCAGACGTACGCAATTTTTGGAAACATATCTACTGGCGGAGCTCAAGCAATTATCCGATTTAGAGACGTACTATTCTGATTTAGAAATGATTTACAACCTGGACTTGAATTATTTAAATGAATTCAAGAAAACAACTGAAATAAACAAATCAAAAATGATTAAAGAGACGATCACGAAACGAGAGAAATTAAGTCTAGATAATATAGAGCCTGATAGCGAGAATATTAGGCTTGCTGATTATTCTGAGACAACCAATTCCAATTTCGATCCTAATTCTGATAATGATACTCAAGATGTACTACAGTTAATCGACAAACAATTACAAAGTCTATCCTCAGACACCACCAATCTTACGAATCTTAATGAAAAGTTGGAAACTTTATATAATTTCCTTAATAAATGTTGAATATATAGCTTAATCGACAAAAACCCAATATACAGTAACTAATATAGTGTCAGTGCTCGAGTCGACTTCTTTCTTTAAGATTGGCGAGTCCTTCTCACCCCTACCTTCGGCTTTACCATCTTGCCCCATATATTCTGGCTTTTTACTATCCACTACATCCTCCTTCAAACTGTCATCATCTTTTGGTTCCGTAGTTCTCACTTCCTCCTTCAAATCTTCTTCAATATCATCTGACTCTGTAATACCACTTGCATGTTCCTTTACTTTGTCATCATCTTCAAGCTCTGTAGCACTCGATTGCTCTTTCAACCTATAATCATCCTCTTCGCCAGTTTTGATGTCGTCATCTACATCCGGTTTGATATCAGTAGTACTCAATGCGTCTGTGGTATCTTCATTGTTGAATTCATCATTAGGGCCAGCTTCTAACGTATTTTCTTCAATCTTGTTTTCATCACTATTCAGTTCGTCATTGACTTCCTCATCTAATACTTTCTCCGTGGTTTCTTCAATCAGATCACCCTTTTTCTCGGCTTCCGTATCTTTGTCTCCTTTTAACTCAACTTTAAGACTAATATATCCATCCCTATTAGAATCCCAAACAGCACCGAAACTGGTCAGTATATTCAAATTGGTTTCAATTGGAGATGGGGATTTCAATCTTGTTGCTTGAATCAAGAATTTATGCTTGGAGGACTTCTTCTGAAGCTTTGCAAGTAAGAACTCAATCAATGCATTGGTTTCACTTAACTTATTTATATCTTCACTTATTACTTCAGTTAGATACTCCGTTGTTACTGGAGATTCCTTGGACGCAGAAGAGGATGTTATAGAAACGATTGAACTAGACATTATTCGTGTTGATGTGATAAGCATTAACTGTTCCAAATATAAATTCACGATGCTTTTTCGTTCCCTGAATACGCGAGATTGTCAATTTTTCAGTAAACAAATTCAGCAATATACGATACCTCTATATTTCTTTATATTACTTGGATTTATACAAGTTCACAAATATGAATATATTTAAAAGGAAGGATACTAGTACGTCGAGTCTCTCCAATTCCGCAAGCGAAGCTGCTTCGGTTTCATCTAAATCAAGTACTGCAAGTACCACTACTTCAAAAAAAGGTTCAAAGTTGATAAAATGCCACACACCTTTTGATAAACCTGTCAACCCCGTCAAACCCCCTGTGTTTGATTTATCAGAAGAAGAACAGAAGAAATACGATGAAGTTTTGAAGCACTTTCAAGAACATGTCAAAAAGGACTTGCCAGTAAACGATCAAGCAGGTGCTGCAAAGCACGCGGTCCTCGATGAAGAGATAGCATGGTTGACTAAAGAGTGTTTCTTACGGTATTTACGAGCTTCTAAGTGGAAGTTAGAGACTGCAATCAAGCGTATTGAAGAAACTCTTATTTGGCGTAGAACTTTCGGAGTTATAGAAATTCCTCAACATACCGATCCGAAAATAGTGATTACACCGGAATTAGTGGAAGAAGAGAATGTCACTGGTAAAAACCTTATTGTTGGATATGATAATGATAATAGACCCTGTCTTTATCTTAGAAATGGTTACCAAAATACGTCACCATCTATAAAACAGGTTCAACATTTGGTCTTCATGTTAGAAAGAGTTATTCAATTTATGCCTCCAGGACAAGATACATTAGCTCTATTGATTGACTTCAAAGCTGCACCAGCTCACATGAACCTTTCGTCTAAATTCCCATCATTATCCATATCGAAACAAGTATTGAACATTTTGCAAGGCCATTATCCAGAAAGATTAGGTAAGGGTTTATTCACCAATATCCCTTGGCTTGGTTACACATTTTTCAAAGTCGTTGGACCATTCATAGACCCATATACGAGGCTGAAAACTATTTACGATCAACCATTTGAAAACTTCGTTCCTAAAGAACAATTGGACAAAGAGTTCAACGGAAACTTGGATTTCGAATATATTCATGATGTTTACTGGAAAGAAATGAATGCGATGGCAGAAACAAAACGTGAAAATTACGTCAAAAATTTTCACCGATTAGGTGCAAAAGTCGGTTTAAGCGAATACGACTTAAGACTAATCCACGATAATGATTCCCAATAGTATAGACAAATTAGATAACAGATAAACCTTCCTATTTATAATCTTATTTTTAATGCGTACAGTAAACATATAATCATGTTAATATTGTATTCATCGAGTTAATACATGAATGATTTAGATTTGCATTCCCTTCTGTCATTCTTCGTAAAATATACCAATTATGACTGCGAAAAACAATAAATCCAAAAATATGCAAAAAGTGCTACATACTAATAGGATAACATATAGTTTGATTTATTATACATCAGTTTGAGTTTTTAACAACTAGACGGTTTATGTACTACCATATACTACTATCAGGTCCTTTGTTTTGGCCAGAAATAAAACGTTATCTAGAAAATCTATGGGAACCGTTGGGCACTGCATATAACAAATGAAAAATATTTTGGTTTGAGTCATATAAGAAACGTTGATTAAAGTATTATAATATAAATCTGTTAAGCTACTGTAGAAATGTCTAATATAGAGGGGTATTCAATCACAATAATTTCACATTCTTCTGGAATTCCAGAGGAAAAAATTGCTTATGTGGAAAAGTTTATTAGCGAGAAATTACGGTTAACAATTAGTGAAAAGAAAGCGTTATCAGCAAATAACAGAGTACTTGACTATTCCGTAAAGTTAGGTGAACAACAAAATGAGCAAATATTGGCGTTGATAAAAGATGAATTATTAGGAAACCCATCGGGACTTGATATCATCTTTCAAAAGACTAGTGAACGTAAAGATAAGAAATTATTTATTTTTGACATGGATTCCACTTTGATTTACCAAGAAGTCATAGAATTAATTGCAGCATATGCAAACATCGAGGATAAAGTTACAGAGATTACCGAAAGAGCAATGAATGGTGAACTCGACTTTACTCAGTCTCTTTTAGAAAGGGTGTTATTGTTAAAAGGTATTGATTCGACGTCGATTTGGAGTGAATTGGAAACCAAAATTGAAATAACAAAGGGAGCAAGGGAGTTATGCAAGGTATTAAAGAAACTAGGATGTGTTATGGGTGTTTGTTCTGGTGGATTTATACCGTTAGCTGAATTTGTGAAAAAGCAATTAGGCTTAGATTATGCCTACGCAAATCAATTAGGAACAGATACGAATAATATTTTGGATGGTACTACCAAGGGTTATATTGTCAATAGTGAAAAGAAAGCAGAGTTATTACTAGAAATCGCAAAAAATCATCAGATAGATCCTCGTAACGCGGTTGCAGTAGGTGATGGTGCTAATGATTTGCAAATGATGAATGAAGCTGGTTTTGGAGTTGCATGGAATGCTAAGCCAAAAGTTCAAAAAATGGCTCCTTGCTGCTTAAATACTGATTCATTGCAAGACATATTATATATCATGGGTTACAATGACGAGGAAATTGTACAATTAATTAAATAGATACATACAATAGACTAAAATAAATTATCCGATTATTTTACCCTTTACTACGCCCATAATCCCATTAAATAGTAAAATTTCAGTGTTTGTTTCTAGTGATCTTAAAGGTATAGTTTCTTCTTCAATGAAGTCCTTTCTTAATAAAAAATGCCTCATCACACCACATAAACAACCACTGCTCAATTGTGGAGTTATCCATTTACCATCCTTCTTTCTTCTAATTGCCACATTAGTTATAGACCCTTCCATTAATTGCTCCAGTCCATTGATCAATAATACCTCTTCCTTTCCTGGTCTTAACCCTGGTAATGCTCTTTCCCTTGCTGCAGTATATACTTTTCTGTTCGTTGTTTTAAACGATGTAAAGGGGGACATAAATGTCAGCTCTTTATCAATGTAAACATCCCAGGTATTCTCCGTCGACGACGAAGAATCTTGAATGCCATCAAGCAAGTTATCTCTGTACCCCGTATCATGAAGCTCTATTTTGACATCCCCGCCCAATGAGACTAATAATCTAACTTTCATTGGTTCAAATACCAATCTATCAGAAAGGGTTATGGCTTCAATAAGTTTTGATAGTAATAAGTCTTGCGGTATTTCGAAGTCTAGTTCGTCCAGATCATGTGTCTGGACATGAAAGTATTTTAAGGTGAATACCAATCTATGATAATGTTCATCAAGTAAGAAGAAATTGTCCTTAGTAATATCAGAAGCCATTATTGGTGGTATGACAGTTAATTTCGGATCATATCGTATTGTAGAAAGAACCTGAAAATCAGTGTTTTCTGGATTGAAAACACCAGATAAGTATTTTCCATGTATTTCATTAGCTATTTCACTGTAACTTTGTCCATTATTTGGATAATTGCCCTCCATTTTAAATATCTGATGAGAAATAGACTAAAAATGCATATCTGGAACATAAAAAAGTCTCAAATGTGTGTGATCGAGGGTGTACATAATACGATATTTACAAAATGTTATTAATCAAATAGGCTAACTATATCAATATATTACAGAACTTCAATATGGCCTAAACCTTTTCTTTTCCTTCATGAGTCTGACCTTCTCTTGATCCAACTTGAATTTTTTCAATAAGTCATTCATCTCGTCTTTCTTGCGTTGTCTCAATTGGAATCTATAGAAATCTTCTTTCTCTTTCTTTTTCATAGTAGATTTGGCTTTATCAACCTCAACTGTAGCAGCTAACTTCTGTCTTCCCATTATACCTGCCTTGGTCTTTCTATGCGAGCCAACAACTAACGTGAAACCATCTTCGTCTACGAGTTGTGTTTGCTGTTGAAGATTTTCCATGGATTCTTTTTCCGCTCTGTCAAAGTCAACAAGAGCTTGCGATACAATGTTAGATATTTCTTCTGGATCTAAAATTTGTGATTGGTACTTGGACAAGAAATACGATGACCCGAAAGTGGAGGATGCATTAATAGGCCAATCCGATTCAGTGGATGACGATGCAAGTTTCTTTAACGCATT